AGTTTCTAATGATCAAACTCAATTGCATTCCTAGTGAGTAAAGTCAATAGAATCGATATTGAGTTTCTTATGATCAGTCTCAATTGCATTCCTAATGAGTAAATTCAATAGAATCAAAATTGAGTTTCTAATGGTCAAACTCATTAGACATTGAGTTTATATCGAGTTTCAATTGACTCTATAGGAACGCAATAGAAAGTCAATTGAAACTCATTGATCATTTTTGTAAGGGATATTATGGAGTTCGCCATAATTTTCGAGGAACAATATCAAAATTATTAAAAAACGATAACAAAACTGTAGAAATCCTCCTTAGAAATGGTTGACAATACACTACTAAGATATCTATTGTGTATATTAAAAAAACTATGAATAAAAGATATCAACTTGATACGCTGTCCAAGATTTGTGTGTGTGTGTGTGTTTTTGATTTTCTTTCCGAAGTGTGCCCTTGACTTTTTATGAGCTGAACCAGAAAAATGGATACCACTGACGCCTATGCTAAGTAAACTATACAGGGTGCTCCACGAACGGTGGACAAATTCGATATTGCGAAAACTATGCATCGCACCAAAAAAGGGCGTGTGTCGTTCTGGTCCTAGGCCAGCGGCCTATTTAGGAAAATTATTAAAGGTCAGGATAATTCAGTTGTTTAGTATTTTCGCTTAGTTACTTTTTTTTAAATATTGAGTTTAAGGGCATGGTTTCATTTGGAAACTTGCTGAGCATTATCGAAAAACACTGAATAAAAAAGTGGGAGTGCGATAGAAGACACACGCTGCATTTTACAGCTTTTTCTGACATGAAGCCAGAAAAATTAATAAAAATTTGAAATGTTTATTGGACATGGTTTTTCGATCTTATCTATAAACGCCCCACTAAGGAAGTTTGCGTTTGCGGAGAGCGTGCAACCAGCCTCCTGCTTCGAGCTGCGGCTCATACACAGGTTTCTAGCGTTTATCACTCCGTCAAAGCATTTTGACTCATTGGGGTGTGAACCTTGCGCGGCAACCGATAATACACGGAAAGCTCTACTTCGCAATGCTGTGAACGATACGGGCACGCGTGTCACCTTTGACCGCTGATTAAAGCTGTCCGCGCGCTTTCCTGCATTCCACGAAAATGCAAGGAAAAGTTGTTCTGTTATACATCGTTTTACACCAGTCTTTCCGAAGCCGACTACCCCCGAATTCATAGACGTGACTTGCTCTGAAGTCGAGCTTCAACTTCCTCAAGTCCGTCTTGCGACGAGCAAGCGCACCTTATCTTGAACCGATCTTGAACAGAGCTTGAAGCGAACTTGAAGGTGCATTCACACTGGCATTCGAATCGAAACCGCAAAGCGGATCCGCCCATTGTCATCATCAAATGCACGTGAATGTGTATTGGGTCTCTAAAGGGATGGTGAACCGAACATTTCAGTTTCTATAACAAGAGGCGCACTCTATTTTCATGAGTCAGCCGCTCTTGGTGTGCGCGAGCACACGCAACGAAATGGACGTGATTTTTTAATCAGAATTTGTTATTTGCAAAGAAAGATAACAATCACATTCCAGAAAACAGACTACGGGCCTGTATTGTCCTTCTCCTATTACAATGTTCAGAGTATACTAGTAAATGCTGACAAGTATAAACTAAAAATATGTTTATGGCGGCTAGGCAAACCACCCTTAATACAAAAGGTGTCGTCTTCATGTTTACGGACATATGCCCCAGGACTGTACACTCTGCAAGTAACCTTTACTACCAAACTTAAATAAAAAAAAAAAAAAAAAAAAATTAAATGTTTTTTTTTCTAAGTTGGTCTGCTTTCTTATGATGTATTATTCCAAGTCTTAAAAGATGAAGTCTTACTATTTCATTCCACAAAGCAAGTCCTGGATTTGAACTTACTTATTTCGAAAGATTCAGAACATTTTCTCAGTGAGTAGTGCTTTTGCACAGAGTTTATGACGTCAATCACAATTTCTTAAAACTTTCAGTATTGAAATTTTGCACATTTGCAAAATAGGCAACCATAAATAGCAAAGTTCAAATGTACACGAAAATTTGTTATGCCGAACACAGGAAAAGTTATAAATTTATTAAATGGCAGCAGCACTAATCAAGACACATTAACTCACGACAAACTCGACACTAGACATTTAGAAGTAGAACATAGCTTTATTTTCATAAGTACCAATATCCAAGGTACTGCTAACGAGCCGGTATGAGCCTCAAAAGCTTGTGTACCCAGCTTGGCAGGTGGCGAAGTCACAGTATAATAAAAAGTTGGGTATGTCTATTTACCCTCAAAAACATGCTTAAAACACACTCGAAAATTTTTAGAAGGGATATCTTCAAAAAGAAAATAAACAACAATAAATTTGATACATGATGAGACAATAAAGAAAGAACATGCCAACTCATTGTTTTAAGTTCCTGTGTGTTTTTTAAAGTTTCTTTTTAGATGCTATAGAAAGAAATGATTCTGGTAGGTTGTTGAAAACATGTGGTACAGAGTACATTAGCGTAAGCTTGCCACATCTTGTTCCGACTCTCGGTGCATCAAAACAAAGTGATGGTCTTATTGGTCGCGACTGTAGATACCGCATTTTAAACATAAAATTCGAGAGGTGCCGGAGGTCAACTATTTCGTTACAAAGTTCCTCAAAAGACAGTAGTTGACGTCCGTGAAATATACATGTATTTAATAAGACATCTGGCCTATCAAATGCCACACCTTTCGAACTACCTTGTAATATAGAATTTCCTCTGGCATGCCAACAAAGAAAGCAGGCTGAAAAAATGGTTATAGCATACTGTAAGTAACTATATGCCAAGGCTTGTGTTATAATCTTTTTCTAACAGAAATGGGCAAGAGCATTTTGACATTGTAAACCCAACATGACATGCTTCTTAACTGTTTACGTAAATAGGTCGTGCCAGTACACCATGACAAATCACTGTCGAAGTAAACTCCCAGGTGTTTTACCGATTTCACACACTGGAGAAGTCCGCAACCACAAGAACTACAAATGGAAGTATGCGGCACTACAGTACCTAATCGTAAAACAAGCAAGTTTTGTCTTCGAAGCATTCACTTTAAAGGAGTTGTGCAACAATTTCAGTGCTTAGCTTAAATAATTTGGGAGTTGGTGTCTCGACTTTTGTAAAGTAAAGAACAAAAAACTGCTTTTTCTTGCACGTCCCAGTTTTTATTTTAAAAACGGACAAAGACTGAGCTTTCCAGCACCTCTCAACTCCTTCCCCACCTTCCGAGTCACGTGCACTGTGACGTCAACGAGAAACGTGCAGGGTTCCGGTGAAGCTCTCTCTAGAGCCATCAGTGAGCACCGAGAACTCATCCGGTCGCGACCACGTGACCACGTGCTAGGGCAGTGCGATCAACATGGCGAAAGGAGGAAAGTCTCATCCGGGTCCGGCCATCCCAGTCCGGCTCTGCCCCCGTCCCCCTCCAGCTTCTGGCGGCTGTTCGCGGTAGCAGATAGAGCTGACGGTTTTGTCGACCTCGGATAGATGGCGCCACTAAAACTCCGTATAATAAAAGTTTTGTCGATGATACTAGGTTTTTGACGCATTTATATATATGTTGGAACGAAAATATTTATAGAAAAATTACTTTTTATAAGCAGGTATTTGCACAACTTCCTATCTTTTTACAAGTCCCCCATTGACGTCATGCCGCGTGATTCTCATGGCCGCCGATCGCGGCTGCAAACGGGAATTATTTTAATTTTTGCCTCGCGATTACGCGGCGGAATCGCAACATTTTGAAGGAAGGACTGTCCTTTGTGACAAGATAAACAATGTCAAAAATAAAAGATACAAAGTCTTTCAACGTTAAAATTGTTGCACAGCTCCTTTAATTAAAGTTAGAATAAAACCAGTCCATTGTGGAAGTAAGATCGTTTTGAAGTTTTTGATTGGCAACATGATAATCCGAGTCACATGACATCAAAACCGTGTCGTCTGCGTATTGGTATATTTTACATTCGGAATTTACAAAAGTAAATGTTCCATCAGAAAATCGAAACCAACAGTAGCTGAAACAAGGTCCCTTAAGCTACCGTATTTATTCGAATATAGGTCGACCTTTTTTTTTCGGAAATGTTGTCAAAAATTAAGGGTCGACCTACAATCGTGACCAAAGAGTTTCGACCCAATTCGCGACCAAAATTTGAAACCCTACCGAGGGTATGGAGCTATCAATCACCTAGCCGGCGTCGCGGTAGAGCCGCGCGGCTTCTTGTTTCAAAAAGCTTTTGATGCACAAAAACAACCGAACAGCAGCAGCCGACAGCCCGTGGCCGCCGGCAACGGCTCTCGCGCGCATTCCCTCGGCGTCGGGTTTCGCCATCACGCATCACGCCTGTAGCGTTCCCCTCGCTGGGCAAGGGGGAAGGGGAGGGAGAGGAACGCGATGCACCACGCACTTTGCCCTCCTATGCGCTCCATTCCTCTCTTTCGCAAACGCGCAAAAACAAAACAAAAAAAAAAAAAAAAAAAAAAACGGAGGTACTTTTGTTTGTTTTTTTCGGCGGGTCGCGTGTTGCTCACGGGGCTCGCAGCGTTGCTCGTGTCTTTGTATTTGGTCTTTCGTCGCCTCGCCCGTCTCCACCTTCTTTCGTTTCTTCTCGTCGTCATTTTACAACGGTGTCAGTGAGGTATTGTTGCCAATTTGCGAGGATGTCTACCAAGCTGACGAAGCTTCGGACGACGATATATCCGGAAGTTCTGACGATGATTAAGTTTCTGACATCGCCCTGTGATTTAGCTGAGAGTGCTGTAAATAAAGGTTTGTTTCTTTTGCCCTAACTTTCCCCTGTTCCTTAAAAAAAAAAAAAAAAGAGAGGTCGACCTATATTTGAATTATTTTTTTTTTTATTCTCGGTGGGCTCAATAAATAGGGGTCGACCTATTTTCGTGGTCGACCTATTTTCGGGTAAATACGGTACATTAAAGTTGCCCAGTAAACCGCTCTTACAACCACAATCTCATTTAACCATTATTCCTAAAAAGACCATTTATTTTTATTACCGAAAAGAAAGAGAGAGTAAAGAAGGCACAAAAATCTCAATATCAAATGTATATAACCACCTATTACCCTTAAAAACCCAAGGACAAGACGTCGTTTTGACCAACATCAGGTACCGAGGAACGATAAAAAAAATTCAGCATTCCTAGGGACACAAGTTCCTATCAAAGGCTCTCCACCTTCGACAGTCTTTCAACAAACTCCACCAGGGTGCGAACTGGACGCCCTGTAAAATAAAAAAAAGAAAAAAGAAAAAAGAAACATGTAGATTTTTGCATAAAAGCAGAGGCAAAGTGAAAAAGGGGGAGCGCTTAGCAAAACGGAGAGGAAGGCCCGAACGAGGTGCTCTAATGCGTCGCGTAACAGCCGGAAAGGCAAATGCAGCCAACGTGAAATTACCTAATACACATGTCTGTGCAAATGCTCAACCGGACCAGTGTTTGTGAACGCAACAGCTGGAAAAATGAGTTAATGGAGGGTGTATCAAAGAGGTTCTGCTGTAACGATACTCTATGTCCGCAAGAGAGTGTTCCTATACCTCGGCATTGTGCATGTTTGAGTGGCTCCCGCACTAGCCGGATCGAGAACTTACTTGGGCCGATCTCTGCGATTCTTTTTTTTTTCACGACGAATATCGAATGCAACGGCCCCATTTTTGCACTCAATGATACTTTATCATAACATGGTTAAAACGCATATTAGAAACTTAAATAAAAAAAAATGCATATAGGCTTTACCACAGAGACGTTGCACCAAAATCTTGTTGCACATTGAGAAAAGCAGGGCAAACTCTTCCCACAAAACCTTCCAGTCTTTCTACTTTATCAGAATGCTGCAGAGGAGATAAAGGAGGAGGAGAGTCCATTTGCCTCCTCTCTAGCGTTCACTCTGCTAACGTGGAGGGCCTGTCACGCTTTTCTTAACCTGCAACAGAATATAAAGCCAGTACATTCTCTGCTACACAAAGCTGCTAAACATATGTATGTGTATCAGTACGTAAAAGCTGGCCCACACATTTGCGTTGGAGTGTGACCTGCCGCTTGCGACGAAACGACGGAAGCGGTCAATCACACCCGTACGCAAATGTGCAAGCCAGCCTTAACCCTATCCCATGACACGGCCGGCACGTTCGTTGCTCGGCACAGCCCGTGCAAGCGTCTCGGCGGCGCAGTTAGCGGTAGTCGGTACAGACCCGCCATTCCAGCGCCGAGGTAGGGAACTTCGTCCTTGTTGTCCATGACACCGGCAATGTCCAGGTGAGCCCAGTGTTCTGCCTTCACGAATTCCTGCGGAAACCGGACACCCGGATGAAGGAGCGGCGGTGCGCAAAATGCACCCAATACCCAATCCAGTTTTTCACTCCTCTATTTGTTTTGCACGTTCACTGCGCAGGGATAAAGGTGCGGTGCCCGACAAAGCAGCGACCCCATGTCCTGCCAATGAGTGTACTTCCCCGGGTAAGACGACGTTTGGCAGTCGTGCGCTCACCTTGAGAAAGGCAGCCGCGCTGCATGCTCCTCCGGAGGGCCCGGCCTTGCTGATATTGTTGATGTCAGCCAGGGTGCTCTTGATCATGCCCTTGCGGTAGAACTCGAACAGCGGCATGCGCCAGAGGCGGTCGCCGCTGGTCTTTCCCGCCTAGAAAGAAACGAGAGAAACGCTCGTGCTTGCTTCTTACAACGGCGTATTGCCAACACCCGCTTTGCTAGCCCACGGGAACTGTGAAGATTGTTGTAGACCCCGCCGAGCAAATAGTATGCGAAACAGAGGCACGCATGCATCCTCGTATGTCAGAGTGCCAGTGAGCCAGGCTCTGCAAAGAAGTACGAGATGCTGCACTCCTTTTAAATTAGGCTAACTTGAAAGAAATTGACAGTCGAAACAAGAGGGGCTGAAATTGGTGAGCAGCTGCATCTCGAACTTGCAACAAACAGACACTAAATCATCTATAACCTATTCATTGAATAGTGAAACCCCGCTCCCGTACACAGTTTGATTTAGGAACTTTTGAGGCGTTTGCTACTGAGGCAGTGTTCTCTTTTAAAGGCCGTCGAGCAGCCAGAGAGGAGGAAACCCTCCCTCGATTCTTCCTTCTCATTCGAAAAAGACGAAGACCCTCCTCCTTCCTGCGGGGAGTAGCTCGGAGAACCGCTCCTGTGGGGAGAGTAGGTGAGTAGAGCACGGGAGGGAATGGAGAGAAGGAAACTGAGAACCGGCTTTCCTTCCGGCAGATGACGATCCTCGTTCTCTAAGTAATGCTCCATCATGACTTTGCATTTTGTACCACTGGGGCTTAGCAGGGCGCAGAAACATTTAAATAAATGCGACATGACCCGAACACCCTCCCCCGCATAAAACATTGGCTCATAGACATGGGGTGCCAAGCCCAGTTGTCGCTCACCTCGTGCAACAGGTTCCAGAGGGCGTCGGAGGTGCAAAAGGCCCCGGCCGCACCGGCTCCCAGTGCTACACTCATGGCACCTGCGAGAAACGAGAGATTACGATGCAACGCATGTTTCATTAATGGCTAGCTAGTGATGAACGACTGTCCCCTGCAGACAAGGGCAGAGATGGCAGCGGTGCGTTTCGTTAAAAAAAGGGGGCATGCTGACAATGCCCCGAAAGAAGCCCCATGTATCTCAATCGCAACGCCTTGGAGGATACTGGCAAGCTCTCTTAAAGGTGTGGCAGCCGTGTAAGCAGCCGCCTTACTTTTGGTTTCAGCAAAAATAATTAATGCCAATAAAGATTTACAAGTAATGAGGGTAATGAAGAATATTTGGTAATCCTCCTTGTAGATTATTACCGCAAAATACCGAGCATCTGCCCTTTTCACGATAAGTGTCCGCCCGTCCATATTGTAACATTCGGAAAATACACTAAGGACATATGTTTACATGTTGTTGACCTAAGGAGCGCCCATCCCCCAGTTTTTTGTGACACTGATTAGACATCTTCGAATTTTGAGTGTGCGGTCGTTCAAAATTTTGAGGTATACTCAGCCTTTCTGTTGTAGAGGCTGATTACAGCACCAAAGATGGGAATTTAGTGAAGCTAAGATGAAATATGCTTTGCATTCAAGACACCGACGTAGTGAAGCGCTTGCCTGGAAAAGTTGAATTTACTCAAGACACAAATTTTAAGTGCTGCTACAAGAGGTCCTACTTGTAACAAAATGAAAGCACTTTAATCAAAGTGCATGCCACAAAATGGGACCATTTTTGTCAGTGGTCCGACTTGCATACTGCCTAGAGAAAGTGGCAAAATTTTTCAAATTTACTGATCGTACAGTTTATGCATAGGCAATCAACAGTGCTCTGGAAACAGCTCTCTTATTTTCTTTCTTTATTTTTGGGGGGGGGGGGGGGGGGGGGGGGGGGGTTACAATTGTGACATTGAAAACCGACTGGAGCACTTCTTGGCTATCTGGAGACTGCAGCTCAAATTTCAACCTTCATATCTTGGAGCACCCTCCCTCCTGGCATTTGCTACAGATTCGATGCAGAGTGTGGGACTCACCGGTGAGGGTTGCCAGGTCTACCACGGCCTTCGGGTTGAAGGTGGCAGAGTAGCAGAGCGCGTCGGCCAGGACAAGACGTCCCTCTGCATCAGTGTTGTCGACCTGGCCGGGCGAAATGCGGGGACAACTCTCAAGATGTGCCTTGACCAACATCTCTTCTACCATTTCCCAGAGTCAGTTACAGCCACCATATTCTGAAATAACTCCAGCGGTATGAAATGTTTACTGTGGAACATACGTTTTTCTGGCTGGGGGTAAACTGGGCTGCCCAATCTGTCACACACAGCTACTTGATTAAAACAATGACTTATTTTGGTGCAAAGAGAAGGACAAATGGATGGACGTGGAAGTGAGAACATGGCGAGTTTAAGTATGCTGTCCCCATAGAGTGATCGCACGCTGAACAATGCCTATGCATGAATGAATGGGTGAACAGATACGGCTAAGCTCTTCTGGTCAGGTGGCAGTTTGGACCATCTAGCGAGTGTCTCTAAACTATGTTAATCGTGGCAAGTGCTGCTCCCTACTGGTCCTCGATTGCGAAAATCCGAAAATGATAAATATCTGAAGGCAATACCTGTATGGTGGTTCCGTTCATGGCAGTCACCACGTCTCCCGGCTTGGTTGCTTTCCCACTTGGCAGGTTCTCACAGAGAGGGATAAGTCCTGCAGATGGCGTCACTTGTTCACCCAATGTGCCCTTTGTGATAAGCCTAATCAGCAGTATCACTGCACCCTCTCAACTCATCTGAAAGCTGTCACCCTAAGGACATTTATACTGTAAACAGCTATATATTCGTAGGCATGATGTACTCTGCTAAGTTTACACGCTGCCATTCTGTGTGGTGGTTGGCAGCAATGGAATTTCTCTGCTGAGGCCCATTGACCACTACTCAGCAGTGTGGGATGACTCTCTTACGATCGGCAACTTTGCTTCTAGTTCCTGATTTCCATTGTGGAAATTAGGCAGTTTTAGAATAGCGTCGTCGCAACTGTGCATGCGCCGACGCTAACTGCAGTTTGCGCTTTCCGTGCGCTATGTTTCGGAAATTGCACGTATACGCAAAGAATCTTGGTGCTCCTCTAAAGAAGATTCGTGATGCAAATATGGCCAAATTCAAAACGAACACGGTTAAAAAATGGCGGCTGCCAGGACAGCGCAACATTGGCAACATCCCTGCGATTGTGATTTTCAATGCAGGCCAACATTGCACTCAGTTTGGAAGACCCAGCAAGGTGGGCAACGATCACCGACAACTCAATGCTTGCGACGCGCCAACATTTTTCGGCGAAGGTACGGTGTGCGAATGTCAGTACACGAGATTTCTCTTGCCGGGGCGGCGCAAGTGGACACGACCGGTCGACCGCTCCCGTCGCATTTTCATATTTGAGCGAATCTGAAATGTTACTCTGAATCAAAAAAGCTTGTTTTTTTTTTCTCAAGTTACAGCATTTCGCGATTGAAATGAAAATGGTGACTACAGTGTAGACCGCATATAACGTATGTCGCGGGAGTCGCGAAAATCCGCACTATAAGCGGTACCGCACTATAACCAAAACATCAATTTTTCAGGCCAAAATACATGCCATGAGACAACTTACACTTGTGAAAAGAATTTATTTTATGTTAGATGAAAAATAAAGCTTAGTTTGAGGAAAGTCGTTATTTCACCTGACTAGTACAGTTCTGTCTCAAGTGTGTTACACATTTTGAAAGAAATGAGCAGCTTTTGCCTGGCGCAACCTTTTAACGGCGTCGCGGGTTGCGGACGGACGTTGAGAGCGTTCAGGATTGCTAACCCTAATCACTTTTCTCCGGAGATGAAAACGCGTGAAAATTCGCATCCTTCACACGGTACGCGCCAGTAATACCTTGAACTTGAGCGCACGCATGAAATGCGCCAAATAAGAAATCCGGGCGATGTTCGAGGACACAAATGCTTAGAAATCACCACTGTAGTCGAAGTAAGCAAACACGACAACACGAGCGTTTCTGCCGTCTTGAGAGCGCCGCCTTGACATCGCCGCATGAGTAGGTGGATTTTCCCTTCTAGTACGTGCTGGGTTATCATAGCGACACACAACGAAAATTCACAGTCAAGGATAGCGCTTTTACGCGGAACGATGAGATGAACGCCGTCTACGACGACGATCACAACCGACGCCGTGTTTGCGGATAGAAGCAGCCGGCCCGCGACCGGCATGTAACGCGCGCAACACTTCTCCTCGACCTGCGATTGGTCTGTCGCTGCGGTTGTTTGTTTCCAACGCCGCGGAGGGACATACGCACGTGAACGACATGTGCGTGTGTCCCTCCGTCGCTAGGGCAACTGAAGCCTCTCTCTTCGCTTCTCCCGCTTCTTCGAGCACCCTCCTTGCCCCGCGAGTGCCGCTTGCGCAACGCTTGCGGCTCGCGCCGTCAGCGCCGTTATCTAGTGTCGCACAGGCAAGCGTGCTCGCTGCTCCAGTCGTCGGCGCGGTCGGCGGGCTGTGCCAGAAACCGCACTATAACCGGTATTTGCCTTCGCGCGCCTGCATTTTAAGCGGTATGTAATTACATGGAGTTCTATGGGAGACGAACCGGTGGTTTAAAAAAACCGCGTTATACCCGGTCCTGCACTATAAGCGGTTACGTTGTAAGTGGTCCATACTGTATCTTGGTGGCGTTGCAAGCGCGAGACGCTTGGGCTTGTGCGTCGCGGCGGAGAAACGCGATTCTAAAACTCTCTTGCGTAGCGTGCGCTAATGCAAGCGCTAAATTTACCGCTAGCATGTGGCTAAAATTTTGTACATTATTTTAAAACTCTCTATTAAGTCCAAGTCAAAAAATTCGCCGAAGATAATTACGTGTAGGAATGCGAAAGAATTATAGTACCACGGGTGAAATGTTTTCGAGTAATGCTTTTAGACATATTTAAGTTGTTTCTGCCGTCATCCGGCGTTGACATCCTGGCTGTCATCTGGCGTTGACTTCCCGCTCCCCCACTGCGCAGGCGCAGCGCCCTTGCCTGATCCACGGCTTCCATGGCGAAGCATTTGCTTTGCTGTGCTTTTCTCTGTGTTTTACTTCCTTGGCACGTCCGCTTTGACCTTGAGCGCAACGCTGGCTACCGTGACAAAGCATCTACGTTGCTGTGCTCTTTGTGTTTTATTTCCGAAGACGTGCTTGATAAAATATCTTTTTTTTTTATCTTGAAACACAAAGCCTCCAGGTTTTTGCGTAATGGGGCAACAAAGACATTAAAATCACTTACCGAAAGTGCAGTCACTACAAAACGGACCATTGAACTAACGTAAGACTGGCTCACACAATTGCGACTGCTTAAATCTGGAAAGGCCGAAATAAGCCTCCTGTGACTGCTTACGACCATCAGTGCAGATGTCGTAAGAAGTCGAAACGCATTCGAACGAAATGGCCATCGTGGCGGCACAGCATCAATCAAGCGGCTTCGAAGATGGCCGAGAGGAAGGGGCGCCGAAACACCGCCGGGGCTGGACTCACCGACCATCTTGATGGGAATGCCGAGCGACGCGACGGCCGAGAAGGCAGCCACCACGCAGGCGGCGCCACCCATGTCCCCGCGCATGCGGTCCATGTTGGCCGATGGCTTCAGCGAGATGCCTCCGCTGAAAAGAGGCGTAATGTGCAGTCCTCCATTTACACAATTAAAAAGATGCACGTGAGGTGTCTTCAACATTGTCTGACACTCCGAAATTAACCTGAAAAAGTGGGCCTCCAAAAATGCCATGCCTTCCCCCCCCCCCCCCCCCCCCCCCCCCCCTGAAAATGCTCGTTTGGCAGTCAGTTTTTCTCCACAACCTTTCACAACACAAAAGATACATATAAAAAATATCATGTAATGACGATCGTGTCATATTATGTAATGACATTATCATGTAATATGATGACATATTGATGTAATCATGTAATATCATATAATACACTATGTGATGCAATAATATAATACCATCTATTGATGTAATGTACTACCATGTAATGATGTAATACAATACCATGCAATGATGTAATCACATATGTAAACCTCATTTTTGCAAATTTCGCTACTTGTATAATATTGCCGCGCGCAAGGTCACGGACTTGTAGAAAGTTCTCGTTCATTCTTGCTGCGGACATAACTATCGTTCATCCTTGTTTTTGTTGTTCTAGAAAGTGCTTGTTCATTCTCGCCCCGAGCGCGCTACGCTCGAACCTTCTCCGCCGAATCTTCGAGATAGTGACTCACTCTAGATAAGAGGCCGCCCGCGACCTTGTCGAGCGAGTTTCGCCCCAGCGCTCGACTCTGCTGTCTCACCGACCTCGACGCTCGCGACGCTTTGTTATTATTTTCTATTCTCTTTTTGTTTTGGCACAAGTTCGCCACATTAAACGTTTAGTTCTTCCTGTTTATTTATTGTTATTCTGGTCCCCACCCGTGACATTTTGGTGGAGGTGCGGGGTACCGCATGCCTGTACAGCGTTCCCCTCCAAGATCCCGCAGTGCAAGTCCGGTACCAAGCCCAGTGAGAAGACCACTCCCCGCGGAACCCGAAACTCGGACCAGCCGGCGCATCAAGGGAGAGGATCCTGAATACGGTTTGCTACTAGACAAGCCCAAGCCGAAGAAGACGACGATGGCCGACCAGGCGCAGGCCCTGGCTGCTCCTGCCGTCGTATACCTGCCCGTCGCACCCAAAACTCCGACGCCGTTCCACGGAGACGCACACGAGGACATCGAGGACTGGCTGCAACACTATGAACGGGTGGCCCGCCATAACGGGTGGTCAGCCGAGCACTGCTTGCAGAACCTTTACTTTTCGATGGAAGGAACTGCGAGGCACTGGTTGGAAAACCACGAGGCTTCTTTGACGTCGTGGGAGGTGTGCAAGCAAGAATTAAAGAAGACGTTTGCCTGCCAACACCGACGTGAGAGGGCCGAAGATCTCCTGCGAACAAGGACCCAAGACCTACATGAGAGCGTCACCAGCTTCGTTGAGGATGTTCTCCGCCTGAGCGCCCGCGCCGATCCTCAGGCTACCGAGGAGAAGAAGCTGCACCACTTGATGAGGGGTGTGAAAAGTGAGATATTCGGCGGCCTCATTCGCAATCCCCCGACAACCGTCGACGGGTTCGTCACGGAGGCAACGAATATGGAACGGGCCCTAGAAGCACGCGCCAGACACTACCAGCGACACCCCGGCGTAACCACTCTGGCGACATCCGGATCCGACCTTGGCACCACCCTCCCCGGCATCCGTGAAATTATCCGTGAAGTCGTCCAGGAGGAACTCAAGAAGCTCCTGCCCGCTGCAGTACGCCCGGCCTCACTCTCCATCGCCGAGGTTGTGCGGGAAGAAGTCCAGAGAACCTTCCAGAAAGAGGCTCCCGTCGTCGTGGCAGCCCCCGAGGAGCCCACGTTGACTTACGCCGCAGTGGCTCGACGGCCACCGCCTCCTCCTCGTCGCACCTATGTCGCGCCGCCCCGACGTCAGTCTCCTGCGCCGCAGCACGACCGACACCACGACGACCAGGTCCAGTACGCCTGCCCGGAGCCTCGCGCACCCCGCAAGACCGACGTGTGGCGAACGCCCGACCGACGCCCTCTGTGCTTCCATTGCGGGGAAGCGGACCACACCTACCGCCGATGCCCATACCGACGACTCGGGCTTCGCGGGTTCCACCCGAACGACCCGCGACCCCGTTATGGTGAACGCCCTCGGGAGATCGACGAGTACCTCCGACGACCTCAGTCCCCCGAGCCTACGTCCCGCCGAGAGTTCCGGTCGCCGTCGCCACGACGTCCAGCTTCGCCGATGCACCGACCCCGACGTGAAAGCCTGTCGCCCCTCGCTCCTCGCCGGGGAAACTAGGCGCGGCAATCCCTGGAGGTGGAGTTGCCGAAGACGACCGACGCCAAGATCCTCCATGAACGTCGGAGGGCCCCCACTCGAACGCTACCAGAGATCGAAACCACGCCCCTGCAACTGTGTCCAATAACCTAAACGTCGTCATCGACGGCCACGACGCATCAGCGCTCGTGGACACTGGAGCAGACTACTCAGTCTTGAGTGGGAGGCTCTCCCGCCGCCTTCGGAAAGTCACGACGCCGTGGGATGGACCTCAGATACGAACCGCCGGAGGGCACCTCATCACACCGGTCGGGAGATGCACTGCTCGCGTCGAGATCCACGGTGAGACGTGTCCTGTCAAGTTCGTCGTTCTGCAAGACTGTTCGAGGGACGTTATCCTCGGAATGGACTTCCTCTGCGAGTATGGCGCCGTCATCGACCTCGGAGCAAACCGGCTGACGCTTCGAAAACCTGCTCCACCACAGGAGGACCCCAAAATGACGTCATCCGCGGTACGAGTCCTCGCAAACCACGTGAACCTACCGCCGCAGTCAAGTGTTTTCGTACCCGTCGGGGTCGATGAGACTTTCTGTGGCGACGTTTTGCTCGAAGGAAGCCTCCAGTTGCTTCTAGGAAGAGGGATCGGCATCGCAAGAGGCGTCACGGAGCTCCAAGACGGACGCACTACTGTCGCACTCGTAACAAACTTCCGACAGGAGGCCCAACACCTTACGAGAGGCACCGCCGTGGGCCACGCCGAGGAACTCCCGGACGCAGCCGCAATCGCCGGAATATCAGAAGACCTCTCTTCGTGGCCACCTAAGACAACGCCGCCTTCGCAGTTTGACATCGACCCAACCCTGCCTACCCCACAACGACGACAACTCAGTGACCTTCTCGCCAAGTTCAATGAGTGCTTCTCCACGTCGTCAAAAGTGCGCCAAACGACCGTTGCGAAACATCGAATTGTCACTGAAGACAACGCGCTTCCTGTGCATCGGTCGCCGTACCGTGTTTCCGTGAAAGAAAGAGAAGTCATCCAGAAGCAGGTCCAAGAAATGCTCGATGACGACATTGTCCAGCCCTCAAGCAGCCCGTGGGCTTCACCGGTAGTCCTGGTGAAAAAGAAAGACGGGACTCTTCGGTTCTGCGTGGACTATCGCCGACTAAACGCCGTAACGAAAAAGGACGTCTACCCGCTGCCACGCATCGACGACACTCTGGACCGGCTGCGCCATGCCCGATACTTTTCGTCGATGGACTTGAAGAGTGGGTACTGGCAGATCGAGGTCGACGAACGGGATCGTGAGAAGACTGCCTTCGTCACGCCGGACGGACTGTACGAATTTAAAGTGATGCCGTTCGGACTGTGCACAGCACCGGCGACGTTCCAGCGCGTAATGGACACCGTTCTTTCCGGCTTGAAATGGCAAAGCTGCCTCGTCTATCTCGACGACGTCGTGGTATTCGCAAGCGACTTCGACGAGCACCTGAGACGTTTGCGAGCCGTACTACAGGCTATCCAGAATGCTGGACTGACACTAAAGCCGTCAAAATGTCGGTTCGCTTACGGCGAGCTCAAGTTCCTGGGCCATGTCGTGAGTGCTCAGGGTGTAAGCCCTGATCCTTCCAAGACATCTGCTGTTGCAGAATTTCCCAAGCCATCAGACAAGAAAGCCGTGAGAAGATTTCTTGGACTGTGCGCTTACTACAGGCGTTTTGTTCGCGATTTTGCCAAGATTTCTGCACCGCTCACGCATCTGACCAAGGACGACGTGAACTTCCAGTGGGGGGAGGAGCAAGAACAAGCGTTCAACGAACTGAGGGAAAGACTCCAGTCGCCCCCTATCCTCGGACACTTCGATCCATCAGCGGAAACAGAAGTTCACACGGACGCCAGCAACGCCGGACTCGGTGCGGTACTCGTCCAAAGACAAGACGGAGCAGAGAGGGTGATCGCTTACGCAAGCCGGGCACTGTCTAAGGCAGAGAAAAATTACTCGACGACCGACAAGGAATGTCTCGCTGTCATCTGGGCGTTAACCAAGTTCCGCCCGTACCTGTACGGGATCCCGTTTCGCGTTGTCACGGACCACCACGCTCTCTGTTGGCTCGCCAACCTCAAGGACCCGTCAGGACGCCTCGCTCGCTGGAGTCTGCGACTGCAAGAATTCGACGTGGCCATTGTGCATAAGTCTGGCCGCAAGCATAACGACGCCGACTGTTTGTCTAGGGCCCCAGTCGAATCTCCTCCCGAAAGCACTGACGACGACGACGACGCCCGTTTTCTCGGTGCAGTGACAGATGCCGACATGGGAGCACTTCAACGAGGCGACCCGGAACTTCGCGCCGTGATCGAACACCTCGAAGGCCAAGGAAGTTCAGTTCCGCGAGTTTTGGCCCGAGACTTGTCAAGCTTCGTTCTGCGGCGAGGTGTGCTCTTCAAGAAGAACTTCGGAACGAGCAACCCTGCTTGGCTGCTGGTTGTTCCGGCCAGCCTGCGAGAAGAAATCTTTCAAGCATGCCACGACGACCCGACGGCTGGACACCTTGGCTACAGCCGGACGCTCGCCCGGATTCGTGACAAGTACTACTGGCCGAAACTCCCGAAAACAGTCCATCTGTACACGAGGTCGTGCCATGAGTGCCAACGACGTAAGAGGCCTCCGACGAAGCCAGCAGGACTCCTGCAGCCGATACCTGCCCCGACTAGGCCTTTCCAGCAAGTCGGAATGGATTTGCTTGGGCCGTTCCCAACATCGACGCAAGGAAATCGGTGGATTATCGTCGCGACCGATTATCTTACACGATACGCCGAGACGAAAGCCCTGCCATCGGGAACAGCCGTGGAAGTCGCCAAATTTTTCGTCGAGTCCATTCTCCTTCGACACGGCGCACCTGAAGTACTGATTACAGATCGCGGGTCATCCTTCATGGCCCAGCTGACGCAAGAAGTCCTTCGTCTCAGCCACACCAGCCATCGTCGCACCACGGCGCACCACCCACAGACCAACGGGCTGACGGAGAGACTCAACAAAACCATCGCCGACATGATTTCCATGTACGTCGACGTAGAGCACAAGACATGGGACGAGGTGCTGCCGTACGTCACGTTTGCGTACAACACAGCGGTTCAAGAAACCACGGGAATGACACCGTTCCAGCTGGTACACGGCCGAACGGTTACCATGACGCTCGACGCCATGCTGCCTCACGTGCCAACCGGTGATGTCAACGACGACGCTCAACTCATCTCCCAGCGCGCGGAGGAAGCTCGTCAACTGGCAAGAGTCAAGATTCAAGACCAACAGCGAGTCGACGCACGCCGGTATAACCTTCGTCGCCGGGACGTCCACTTTCAACCCGGAGACCGGGTATGGGTTTGGACACCAATACGTCGTCGCGGCCTCAGCGAAAAACTCCTGAAACGCTATTTCGGACCCTACAAGATCATCCGACGCCTCGGCGATCTGAACTACGAAGTTCTACCCGACGGAACGCGCCCATCTGCAAGACGTCAGCCGCGACCCGAGGTGGTGCACGTCGTCCGGCTGAAGCCGTATTACGAACGATAGAACTTTCCACTCTCGTCGACGGGTGAACTGTGAACTGTGAACTGCGACTCGCGATTCTGCTGCCTTTTTGTTTTGGATTTGTTTTTGTTTGTTGTTCTTCGTTTTGTGCTGCATCGGGACGATGCACTTTTTACAGGGGGGGATAATGCCGCGCGCAAGGTCACGGACTTGTAGAAAGTTCTCGTTCATTCTTGCTGCGGACATAACTATCGTTCATCCTTGTTTTTGTTGTTCTAGAAAGTGCTTGTTCATTCTCGCCCCGAGCGCGCTACGCTCGAACCTTCTCCGCCGAATCTTCGAGATAGTGACTCACTCTAGATAAGAGGCCGCCCGCGACCTTGTCGAGTGAGTTTCGCCCCAGCGCTCGACTCTGCTGTCTCGCCGACCTCGACGCTCGCGACGCTTTGTTATTATTTTCTATTCTCTTTTTGTTTTGGCACAAGTTCGCCACATTAAACGTTTAGTTCTTCCTGTTTATTTATTGTTATTCTGGTCCCCACCCGTGACAATATTGCGAAAAATAGATCCCACAAATATGTTTCCCCAGAATAAAAATACATAGCGTACCACCCTGATTCGCGAAATTTCATGCCCACAAAATATTCCTGAAAACTACACTTCGCCAAATTCGTGAAATATTGAGCCCAAAGAAAATGAAGTTGTTTACAGTAAAATCATGTATCGACATATTAATGTAATGCGTGTACTAAGTAATTCCATAGCATAGTGTAATGGCATACTCTTCTGTAGAGCCCTAGGCCTAACCCACCTGTCAAAGGTGATGCCCTTGCCGACGAGAACCAGAGGCTGCTGCTCGCCTTTGGCACCTTCGTAGTGCAGCTCGAGGAACACCGGCGGTTCCTCAGAGCCCCTGGTCACACTCAGGTAGGACCCCATACTCTGCTCCTCGATCCACTGCTGGTCCCTGGAAATCGAAAAGGCAAGCATTGGCACCAACGAGCCGCTGCTTGCGGGCCATCTCGCCTATGCAGTGTAGACACTTTTATCAAACTACACATCTGTAATGAACAAAGACCTCCACAGATGCATCTCAAAAGAGAATCGTGTTCGGAAATTGACAGCAGATGCTGCATGCAGCGACTCTACTCCGATCACCCCTCCGCTAACAGCGTGACGTGAGCTACGCGCTCGATGGAGCATCACTTGACCTCACCCTCTGCACGTGGGTATGGGTGGGATCGTGATCAAGCAGCAAAAGATAAACTCACGACCGATCCAACGAGCACATAGCTACCATTGTACCGTTAGCTTAGGGACAAACGGAGTCGAGCACCAAATCTACAAAATGTGCCCTAAAAGCCATCCTGACGATGCACGGTATCAATAGCGCAAAACAATTCTATTTACGGGACGGTATACAAAGATTGTGTCGTAAACGGAGAAAAGGAGGGTATGCGCGCATAGCAAGAAAGGATCGGCGCAGAGAGGGAAGTAAAGAAGTCGGGACGAGACCTTGCGATGACCGTGACGCCTTTCTTGCCCAAAGTCGCAGCAGCGGCGTCTGCGAACCGGGTCGGCGTCATGCGATTGGCCGGAGATTCCATCAGCCACCGTGCAAAGTTCTGGGCCTCCGACTTCGTCAGTCCGCGCTGCCACCTGCCGTGGTAAAGACGCACCATCAACTTTTTCCCCGTACACAGAGACACTGTTTCGTTTCTCGTCTGCTTCTTACAATGTTTGAGTTAAGGCCAGTTCACACACTTGCAACCGCTTACGACCGAGTGCCTTAAAGCCTTCGCGAAATCTCTTGCGACGAGGGACCACAGCGACGTCATCTGCTGGGCGGACGTGAAACCCTTGGCGTTTCCGTACATTTTCTTTGTTTTCTCGCGTATCTTTCCTCTTTTATCGGCTCAAAAAACTTGGCAATGTTATAAATGACTGTTTCTCGTGGATGGCATGCTTGACCTTGCAAACGCTGCAAAACGTTAGCTTTAATAAAATTCCAAGGCCACCCCATAAATGGCACCAGCGCATTCTCTTGAGAGTTTAATTGATGCCTCGACAGTTTAATTTGTGCTGCCCATTGCCCGCTCCTTTGCAAGAAATTGCAGTTCTTTACGCAAAGTCACCCAATTCTTCCTAGTGCGGGGAGATTATTTTTGTGGGCACTCGTTACTGCAGTAAGCATATTATACAATCGTGCCTCCTTATTATGAACACCATTAATATGAATAACATATAGACAAAAGTTTCAAGTACAAACTGGGTAAAAGTGTGCATTTTTGTGTCATTATAGACAACTCGCATTGTGAACGACTTTGGGAGAAACGGAGCTATTCTTAATAATGAGACGTAACTGTAATTCTCCACAGAAATCCAAGCAGGTCGTGAATGCAAGTTTAGAAAATTCCAGCGTGTGCGATTTGCTCAGTAGGCAGACGAGGATTAAAGTCATCATTTTTTTAGAAACAAAAACCACTCTCTTGAAAGAAGTACATGGTACAGTGCCGTTTATTTCGATGAAACGGAAGTAATGAGGGAAAGGTGAGGCCATTTGCATTTCCAAGATGTCACAATATTTGGTCAAATCACTGTGAAAAAACTGATTTCTACTTACTGACTTGGGCAGAGGCACCCGCTGAAACGCAAGGTTTTGCTGCGTAACTACTTTGACACAAATTCTTCCACACTGATGCAATGTCAGAAAGGGCATTCTGGGTAAATGAGTAAAGAAGCAAAATATTGAGCAGTCCTGCGTTAATCTACAGGGCAGGCACAGCGATAGCCGCGACACGTCACGGCGAAGTCGTTGGCCATCGGCACCAGGTTCACGCATCGCGGGCTGCGTGAACAAAAGCGTTCGGAACAAAATAGACATCTGTGTTGTTCCGAATGCTTTTGTTTTGTTCCCTTTTGTTCCGAACGTTTTTGTTTGTTTGTTGTTCCGGAACACGTGAAAGCGCATCTCCTGGCATGAGCTCTTGGCATTGACAGTGTTACAACAACTTTCTTTTTTGTTGTAGGCTATGTTTTTTTTTGTTTGTTTTTTCTAGAGAGCATTGAGAGCAGAGTGGGCATTGGGTACTACAAAACCCCAAAGTATAAAGCGGGTTGTTAACGCTGTGGCATAGCTCTGTGATAACGCCCCTGCTTCGCACGTGGTGGAGCCGGGTTCGATTCCCGCGGGCAGCGAGCCATCGTTTTCGAGAATTTGCCAACGTCGAGGACGGACGCCCCACGACGCCAACTACAACACCAACGACGGACGTCACTTTCGGGGGTGGGAAGAGCCCACGACAGCTGTCACTGTAGAACTTACCCGTGCGCGTCGTGACCTCCAAAGAGGGACAAGGACACGGGCGGTTTACGAGATTCCTTCTTCTTCAGGTCTTCGTAAGCAAACAGTGTCAAATTGGATCCCTCGGCCGCCGCTGCAACGGAGAATCGTGCCACATAGTATCGGTGCCACACCTATCCCTGTATTTGACTAAAGGTAGAGGAAACGAAAAGCTGCAGCGGAAAGCGCCCATCTATCTTAAGCCGGAATGTTCTTCGACACATGGTACCGAGTTACATTATGCAGCAGAGGTACCTATCTATTTAGAGGTCCGAAGGGGGCACCGAAATTCATGGTGGGCACAGTGATAGCATAAACTGTAAAATCCCATAAGGGCACCCACCCAAAATGATGAAATAAGTGGTGAAAAAACATGAGGTGGGCCATCTATGGGGATGAGACAGCAAAACAATCAGAAATTAATGATAAACACCGGGGCACCCGTTACAAACCAAGTGACACGGGAACTGATACCGCAGATCGCGGACACGGCAAATATGCGTTTCACGACGCGGTAAACAAGCGGGAATTTGACACAAACTCCTATGTCACAGGAAAGAATAACACACACTATGGATACAGCAGATTCGTGTTTCATAGTGCGATAAACATGCAGAAACCAGCTACAAACTTGCGTGCCATGGGAGCCGATATCACACGTGCAGATAGCGGATGTAGACACGGGACCCCGCTGTGAACTCGCTTATCACGCATACCGGTACCGCAGACTGCGATACCGGTACGCGCAATTCCCGTCCGACGGGTATCACATAAACAGTGCGATCGGGGGAAGGGCTGAGTGGGTATCGTGGGATGGGTAATGATTCGGAATTTTTATGTTACGAATATTTAGCCAGAAAAACGAGATGGGCAATCATTCGGCAGAGGGCACTCTTACATGATTTTACAATAGGTGGATAATTGCCATACTTACCCGATTCAAATGCGCTCCCTTCTTTGACACAAATATACCTAACATCTGTCTGCATGTTAAAACCGGACACTGGGTGTGCATTAAAAATCGGTTAAATCCAGTGTAGCTTCACTCGGTCGTCGAGAAATGCGGTCGGACAAGAGGAACCTATTTCCCTTTCCCCAATCCTAGTTTTCCTCCTCCTTATTCATTAACACCATTGAATAGAGCACACTGTATAGGTACACACTGACTGAATCTATACACATAGGTATGTGCATTTCAAACAACTTGTTGCACCTGGCTTTTGAACCCAAGAAAAGGAATTTCAGTGGCCAAACATCCAGCCAAAAGTTAGGTGCAATGTCGACGAAAACGAAAAACAAAATATTGTGCTTGCTTACCTTCCGCATTGCCACAGGGGTCCACTTCAATGCTGGTGGCGCCAACAGACCGCAGGCCTCGAACCCCAGCTACGAAACCAAGCGGAAGAATGTGTCAAGATGTGCGGAGATTGCAAACCTAACAAAAAGAAAGAAAACACCTACACAAACAGCAGTCAGCTGGTTATCGAATACCAGCTTAATTACGAATAAAAAATCCGCCACTTGAACATACGTGTAAAAAAAAGTGGACTGCAGGTTGGGTGTTGATCAAGCAACCCTGAACATTCTTTGCAGATGCAGATAGGACGGGTAGACAGAGTCCGCAGGTTAAGGTTGTATGCAGATTATTCAACAGCATCCTTCAGTTGTCATTCAAAGGAGACTACAAAAGCCCACATTTCTTTTTTAACGTCACTTGTCCCTTACAACAAATTTATTCCTTCTAATACTGCCAATAGTTAAAAGACCACTAAAGAGCTTCCGGTTAAAGGGGCACTTAAGTGAATTCTGAGATTGTCTACTTATTACCACAACTCAATCTACTGGCTCCAAGCATCCTAAAAAACCCAAAATAACATTCACGGGCGGCCAAACTACCTATTAAAAATCCAATCAAAGATTGGTTTTCTGCACTGTGGCACACAGCACCAAGTAGTGACACCAGGGGCCCTAAACTCGTGAAACCCGAAGTTGGGACCGAAGTTGAGGGAGCGCGCCGATTGGACTATCACGACGATGACTTGGCGCTTTTGTCGCCAGCATCAAATCGGCGCGCTCCGCAAACTTTCCGCCCAAACTTTGTGTTTCACGAGTTTAGGGCCCCAGATGGGAAGGCAGCAGGGGAGGGCACACAACAGCCAATCACCAGTGTTGGCTTACCGGCGGACTGATGTTTTGAAGGCGCGCATATTCGAAAATTTAGTTTGCCGGGAATCAGTCATTTGTGATTGGCTGCCGCGTGCCCTACCCTGCTGCCTTCCCGTCCTGTGGCGCCCCCTGGTGTTCTGTGCCGCGGCGCAGAAAGCCTATCTTTGATTTGATTTTCAATAGAGAAATCGGCCGCCCTTAATTGTAATTTCGGGTTTTTTAGGATGCTTTGAGCTCATAGATTGAGTTATGATAGTAAGTAGACAACCTCAGAATCCACTTGAGAGCCCCTTTAAGGTAATCGAAAGAAGGAGATTTACGGAGTACCAAGCTAACAAAAAAAGCTAGCAATTTCTTTTTAATTGCTTTTTTTTTTTGTGCTCAATATTGATTGCACACCACACTGTATATCTTTGCACTTCGGTTTTCCTTTTTACATTCGGGCAAGATCTTTAATGTTATGTCATGCTCCGACCCACTCCCCTCCTCAACGCTCAGACATGAGGGTATGTAAAAATTATGATGAAATAATAAAACAGCCTATTTGAAGAAGCCGACGAATGCAAACATCACCCGAGTACATGCTCCGCCAGTTGTGACGATGTGAACTTTATCAACCTCGAAAACCGCTCCTGTGAATGAAGGGCCAAGTGCAACACAACCTAACAGTAAGAAATTTTAATTTTAATTTCTATTTGTCCCTACTTGCAGCAGATGAGCGTGGATTAGCCCTCACTGGCTACGGATGTCCATTAAGGTAGCAATACCGACCCAACGTTGTAAACGCAGCGTTTCCAACGTTTCTAAATGGGCGAGTCAGTATGTCAGTCCCTTCATTCCGTCTCATACGCCACTTCCAGAGGCACCAAAACGACATGTTGACAACGAGGTAGGAGTGAAGGCTGGTTTCCAGACTTGCGACTGGTGACGACTGTAGGCCTTAAATCCTTTTAAAATCCTTCGCGAGAGGACACACTGGTATCACCTATCGGGGTACCTGTGGAATGCTTGCATCTCCTTATGTTTCCCATCTTTTCTGCGCACCATTCTTTCGCCATTGACTCGAAAAACTTTTGGCGTTGTTATAAACAACCATTTCTCAGATGTAGCATACATAAATCTGGTCTCGAAAATACTGCAAAATGTTTGCTCCAGAGAAATGCAGTTTTAGGTCCTTTTTGCACATGTGAAGCGCAAGCTTGTCTGCTTCTTTTGCGGGTGTTGCGGTGGCGTCAGAATGCCAAGCTCCGAGATAGTGGGCAGACCTCGAAGCAAGCTGCCTCGAGTTCTGCCCACTATACAGTGCAACTCACTTATAACAATATTGAAAAAACCCTAAATTTCAATCGTATCTGGAGTAAAAAGTGATTACGTATTTCCAGTCTAGAAACTGATCGCTATAAGTGGGTTGCACTGTACCTCAATCAGAACAATTCAGAGCTCAGTGTTCTGACGCCACCATAACACCTGCAAAAGAAGCGGACAAACTTGCACTTCGTACGGTGCCGGCGTCGTTCTCTGTCGCGGGAGATGACGAGAGCTCAGTCGTCGGCGAGGCGAGGCAGAGGCACGACGTGAAGTTCGACGACGGTACAACTGCGGAGGGAGCACGGTCTAAGTCCCACTCACCGGAGATGGCGACACGGACGTTTTCGGCCACCTCATCACGGTCTTCCAGTTGGGCCCCTTCCGGCTGCTTGGGGCCAAGGTGGACGACAGAGGCGAAGGGGTACTTCTGCGACACAAACGAGACAACCGTCGCCGTCACGCTCCAGTCCGTCGTCTACGGACTGGGCCATTGTTGAATGTGCTTGTTTTCCGGTGCCAGAACGTGTCTCCGACCGGCGCGCTTGGCACCCCGTTCCGCCCGTGCATCGAAGGGGGTTCACAAAGTGGCGACGGACGACGTCGCAAGAGCCGTAGCACCGCGCCGTCGGACGTCGCAATCCTGGCGGCTTGGTTGTAGAAGTTTCAGGGAAAAGAAAAGTACAAGAGAGTGCGAGCATCGCTGCCGTCGCCGCGTCCCAACTCCCGGCTGCCGAAGCTTCCGTGGACTGTCAAGCGACTTGCAGAGGAGCTGGCGTCTGCTACGTCTACCACTGCTGCTGCGACGCCGCCAAGATCGCGACTGACAATGGCGCGACTGGCAATGGCACGACAATCGAGGGACCACCTTTTTCTTTGGACGCAGTAAACACGCCAGTCGGAAATGCATTCCAGGCAGCATAATCGTATCAATCATCAACACAACGCGGATTTTTTTTCTCGGTTGAGAGGAACAGTTACTTTCTCTCTCAACACATAAGCTGAATGTATGGCGACAATTATGTGCTCATCCGACCGACCGACTACCTTTTTCTCATGCCCTGACCCCCCTCTCTACACGTGGGTGTGGGCGGCGGCATGATCACAAAGCGAAAGATAGACGTACGATTGGTGCGGTGAGCACGTAGCTTTCGCTGCAGTGTCCACTTGGGGGGTGAACGGAATATAAAGGAAGTGTGAAGCTTACTACTCACAATAAATTCAACTCAAAAGGTGGTCGTACCCTCTCGGAGTTTAAAATGTACATATTCTTCGACGAGTGCTCTAAAACATTCTGAAACTTATGAGACAATCCCTCGGAGTCTCTTTTCAAGTTTTTCCTACCAGCACCCAACTGGTTCTGCATTTTGTTGGCACGCTTTTTAAAGCCAGAGGCAGAAATGACGGGGACAGGGTCCCTAACACGCCTGGAAGATTTCGCTTGCTCGCACCACCAAGAGGTTTGGTCACCGCAAACATGTCCGTCTTCTTGCTCTTATGATCACACCTTCTCCGAGGCTGTGCAGCAATGTACAGCCATAATTTTGCCTGTCTTGCAGTTCGAACTACATACTATATTCTGATTTGATTCTTCAGGGTATATTGTTTTTGAGCCAAATCAGTTCAGAAGCAGAAGCCTCGTATACTAGGACTTAACTGATCTGCCAGCCCAGCTAGAAGACAACTGAACCAAGACTAGAAACGTATCTGAGAAGCTGCCAAGACCTTCACTTGACCTCTAACACACCTTTTACGTGAACTAATGCGTTCCTATTCGCCTTTCAAGTTATCCATAACAGCAAAGCATGCAAATGAGCTTGTACGCCACATGCAAGTTGGACCTCCTACAATTTTTATTGTTAGAAGCCAATAGTACAACACCAAATAACGATATCAGCTAACAAAAAATTTAGTGAATTAAAAATGAATTAAAATGAAAATTAATTGGACAACTTTGCATGGCCTCATGAGGATCACTTGGAAAGCATAAAAATGTCAGCCCAACTTTCAATATTAGCTCTTCCTAAGAGTACCATATGTTGAGCTTACATACAATGTGTAATAAGCCGCTTCTAGTCATTACCGATTCCTGTTAAATTTGATAGTAAAAGTATGCTTTAAAGTTGAATATAACTCGAATGACACAATCAAGCTACCAACAGATCCTCTTAAAGGAAAGAAGAAAAAAAAAGCCACCAATGTGCGTGTGTGTTTGTTTAGAAACCAATTTTAGGTTGAGAGAGATTACCGTAAATTATCTCCTATGTATTTGTTATTTTAATGGTTTTAATTTTCTGCACTCCGTTGCATTGGCTGTACAGCACACGCATGCATGCTTAAGCATCTCCCTAACCAGTTTTGCAACATTTGGTTACCGGTAGCGATTCTAAAAATATATAAAGCAGAACCAGCTGCAAGCAGTGTGCCGCCGCGCTACCAGAGGCACGGAACACACGACAAAAAACACCAGCTGCTAGTTCCATGTTGCTCTCACCCTGCCACCGAAGGACGGGGTCAACGCTAGACTGCTCCCACTTTTGCCCATACATTTCCGACCGGCGCACAGCTGCAGCTCCGAATTGCGCCAACTGTGATATTCCCCATTCAAAGTTCTCTACTGTTTCACTACACTTAAGAAAAAAAAAAAGAAGGCATTACTGCTGATTTCCAAACCAGCACAACATTGGGAAAATTCCACCAAAGGTAGGGCAATGTAATATTTTTGTTGAACCTTGAAGCCCTCGGCAGCATACTCGGAAGGGAGCAAGGTACACTTAAATATATTGTTTCAGGAGTTTGATGCACAAACATTATGCAGAATGTAGTTGTGGGCCTTCTGAATGGCTTAGATTCCAGGTGCTGCACTTCGGAGGCTTTCCCCAGACGCTGATTAGGACCGATACATTATAAACTTTAACCAAATCCCAGTGGAAAAATTCTACACATTCCAGGATCAGTTTGAACCCGTGAGCAAAGTTTCCAGCAGACCTTGAAATTTTAGGGGTTTTCCATCAACTGGGTCTGTCAAATATTCATTCTCTGCCTTTAAGTAACCAAAATCCTGCCAGGCCCCAAATAGTGTGTGTTCCACAACAAGGAATAATCGAGGCAAATAACCCAAGTCCCAGAACCAATCATTTTTAAGATTATCTGCACCCTAGGCACCACCAAATGAGAATCAAAATCTCATTTGCTGTTTCCCTGTCTTAAATATACTCTGTCTTGCCCTAATTTACCAGACGGCCAAGGCTACGGTCCCAGCGGGCCAATCAGTGCATCAGAGGGAAACATGCACTACACTCCGTCTTACTAGTTTCTTGCAGTGATGTCACAGTTGCGGGGCTAGAGAGATGAAAGCCGCTTTTGTACGAATTTTTTGTGGCACGCAAATCTTCTAGGGGGACAAAGGAGACGTCTGGGACACACAAAAGAGGGTACAGGTAAGAGGGGAGTTCCCCCTTCCCCTAACTGCTTGGGTTGCCCTTTTGACCCTGTACCTTCGGTGAGGGCCGTCACATGCTTCCCCTCTGTCGCTCTGATATGCTCGAGGGGGATGTAACATTCACTCTTTGCCAAGTTGTGGTAAAACAAAGTGTAGTGATGTGTTCAGTAGACTTGAGGCAAAGAGGTTCCCCGTTCTATTGGTACCACTATGTAACCCACTGAAGGCATCACTATGCACTCCACCCAATCACAAGCAACAATCGAACCACAAGACACGGAGAGGAATTCATGCCCACCTCATTCAATCCATAGAATACCCTGGTCTCTCCCTTCTTAAAGGCACCCTTGGTCCTGGAAAATAAATAAACGACATTGTGGAACTCGGCCCCACAACCCGACAGCATTTGTCTTTGAAAACATAGAGAGCATGAGACAACTAGGATGCAGAAATGGTTATACAGAAGGGCACTCAAGGAGGTTTCGAGATTGCCTATCTATGGTCATAACTCAATCTACGAGCTCTAAGCATTCTGAAAAGCCCAAGGTTAGAATGATACGTATTCGATTTATTTATTAAAAGCAAGGCCCAAGATTGCAACATGGCCGTTTTTCTGCGATTTGGCGCAGAAACTAGGGAACGCCGTAGGACGTGACAACCAATCACGAGCGGTCGCATCCTGCACGTAAATCCTGCGTGTTTGAAAATCAGTCCGCCGTTAGTTGGCCCCTTTGCCGCGTGGGAAGAGATCGGTCACGATTGGCTGTCGCACGTCCGACGGCCCCCTCTGATTGCTGCACCGAATCGCAAAAAAACAGGCATGTCGCGATATTTGACACCGCTTTTAATAGAGAAATCGGACGCGTACCGATCTAATCTTGTGTTTCTTGAATTGCTCAGAGTCCGTAGATTGAGCTATAACCATAAATGGACAATCTCAAAAATCACTTGAGAGCTCCTTTAAAAAAACAAACAGCAAAAAAAAAAAAAAAAATACAAAGACAGAGTACAAGTGCAGTATCATGCTTCTCTTCATCACACAGGCAATGTGGGATGCTACAAAGAGCTGCCCCAAAAATGTTATTGTTGTTCGAAACATCTTTATTAGAGTAAAAAGGGAATGACTCGGCAAGTTGTAGGCTGCAAAAGCTAAGCCAATAACATGCAGGTTTCGCTCAAAATTGGACAGTAACTGTCGGCTCTGAAGCAAAATTTAATTCATGCAATGTCACAGTAGTTAGAGGCTATTCAATCTATGACAGTTTTGAATGCATGCAAAGAAAAATAGGTCTTCCATTGTCAAAAACAGAATTGCCGAGCCACTGGTAAAAACTCTGGATGCTTACAACTGAAGCATGTCCGTGAACTTGGTGCCGATGGTGCCAGAAAACTGCTTCGCCGCTGGCGTGAGGATGAAGTCTGCATCCTTGTCCTCCTGATATACCCCGAGCACCAAGCCTTGCTTCTGCAAGGTTGTCAGGACATCAGGACAATTTCAGTGCCTTGGGCAAATAAAATTCTATGCAGTGGCACGCACAATACCATGGTACTCCAATAGAAAAGTCTGCACCTTTCGTGTGTTTTACTTTTAGCCATGGCTAACTATGACCTCCGAATGACTATGACAAGCATCTTTGTGGTGTTCATCCAGAACGCACGTGTCACTGCAGAATTTTTCTTAAGGGCATAGAGTCTATCGCAGTGACCGAAAAAAAATTCCGTGGACATAGTAACACTTGGACCTTTGGCCTAGCCAGGACCCCAGGAGCACCGGAATGGGTCGTGCTACCTGCACGAATGGTTCTCTGCGACTTTCTTGGCAAGCAACATTTGCAAAAAATGGCGTATCCTCATTCACTCGGTTATAGGGCAATACTGCTGTCCATGTGAATGAAGTAGACGACAAATTGGCAAGTACCTATAATGGGATGCTGAACCGAAGTTTGGAGCTCACAAAACAAGGCTGGAGCGATAGGCGGGGACACTGCAAAACCCAAAACATCACTCGCACAGCGATATCTCTTAACGGATGGCCGTATTTTTGGAAAAGAAGTGCGCGATTGAACGCAGCCGGCAAGGCTAACGAGACGCGTAATGTCGCGATTCTCATTCTCTCTCCTCTTCGCTTCGTCCCCAGGAGCAGGAGAACCGAAGTGAGGCCGCTTCCCCTCATTCTCAAGTGTGCGAAGAGAATCGTGACGTCACATTCCTCGCTTGGTCGCGCCCTTCCTTTCCAAAAATATGGCCATCCGTTTGGGATATCGATGTATCAGTGATGTTTTGGAGATCATAGCGTCCCAATGAATGGTTCTGCGGTCTTGTTTTGCGAAATTTAAATTTCGGTTCAGCCTCCCTTTAAGGTAGTAAGCTGAGCAAGTTAGTGAATGTCTCTTGTGCACTGTTTTTTGGTATATTTAGCAGGCATTTCGCCGATAACATTCAGACCAAACTTGTTTCAGCATAGCTTAGCGAACAAAGTAGAAGTTTGGGCTAGTTGGTATTTCATGATTAAAGATTAAAACAGCGCAAGGACACGGACAAGAACAAGAAGGTAGACAAACAGCGCCTTGTTTGTCTACCTTCTTGTTCTTGTCCGTGTCCTTGCGCTGTTTTAATCTTAGCGAACAATTGCCACAGTGAGCCAAAGGAGCATTGGAGAAAGGCACGTGACAGTGCACCGCCGGACAGACTACAGAGAAATGCATAAATCAGGCGCCTCACTCCAACGCTCTTATTTGCTCCCTAGAGCCACACCTTTTCCAGTTTGACAAGTTCTGCTGAAACGAAAAAAACACTGCCCACTGCGGACCCTAGAGATAAAAACACGGTGTTACTTTATCTTCTTGCCACAAATCTTACAGAGAGCTGCAGTTTCCTTTTATTTTATTTTTTTTAGTCTGGCTACTTCATGACGTCCACCTACAGAGTTTCTGAAATGTAATCTGCAGTCTGCTTAGTAAAGCGACTACAGCAGCGTAAAAAAAAAAAGTATATACTGTTGAGCTTGCTGACGGCATTTGCATAGCAACACCGGCATGGTGGATCAAATTACGTCTGCAGCAGTCCTCTTAGCAGCCGTGGCCTTCAGCCATCTTGACGTGCAGGAAAAATGCAACGGCGACATTACCGAACAGTAACTCCTATAATGGTCTCCTCAGTACAATTACAAAACAAATAATACTGGTAATTAGGAAGTTCTCATGTATCAAAAAAGAGGGTTCTGTCCAATCGCTGTAGGGAGAATTTTTTTTTTTCTTTACTCAATCTCCATACCCCTTTTGCATTATCTTCCCCTGTGATAACCAGTGCTCATAACCCAAGTGCTTCCCGTTTAAGCATTTTTGCTCGGCATTCCAAGGAAACAAACAAAGAGAACAACGTTGAACAGCCTGCGACATGCAACGTTGCGAACAACGAGAACTATTCTCTGCCAAGATAATCCCCGGAGAGCCCTTGACCCTGGGCCAAAATAGCTTATCAGGTTGGGGACGGATCAGTCACCTTCATTGCTTTGCCGAGCAAAAAGCAGGAACTCTCCAAACGTGCCCCAAAGTGGGTTCTGTACAACCATCGTGAGGTGACTTACGTTAGCTGCATTATTTTTTAGATGTTTTCCAAGCAGACCCTGTTCGGATAATGCGGCATCGTCTGGTGCATGCAATATATTCTTAGAACACCAAAACTTGCCGTATTTAAACAGACACTGACAGGGTATTAATGCTTGCCAAGGTTTTTATTTGTGCGTGACATATGAGAGCCCAAATACCCAGAACACAATTTGCAGCTCGAAATTCGTTTTCTTTCCGACCGAAAACCGCTGGTCAAGAACTGGCCGGTTTGAGTCGCGCTTACTCTTCTTCTTTTAGACACAACCACCAAATATAATCAAAGTTGTGGGTCATCGAAGGCACACGCTCAATATTAAAAAGAGAAAAGAAATATGATACCCATATCTTGTGGCTTTTAAAAAGCTGCAAATATGTTGATTTAAGGAAAAGGCTCGAGGTACACCTACAGACTTCTTATGAGCTGTAATGCGAAAGCATGCGTGCCATTCTTCCGCTCCCGCGTATCGTTCGCGGCGTATTTGCGGCAACCGTGCGCACGCTCTCCCAGCTCTTCTCGCAGCTCTGACCTTGGACGCTTCGTGTTACAGGCGCGTTCGCGGCACGGACACGTAGCACCATGGGGCGGCGGTCGTTGGAACTGACGCGCGCAGCGGCCAATGGGAGCCCCGTCGACGCGGGCCAGCCAATGGGACCGAAGGCGAAATTCATCAGCTTTACTGCTCCTTTGGGATCAGGGAAACTTGGTGCCATTGTCTAGGCTTTTTGCGTTGTTTCATAGCTGGGAGCTGGCTTCACTTGGAGAAAGGATTTAACTGATAACGTCGGCTTGCCCCATGGGACCAGTCAGTGCTTTCGCATTGAAAAAGTTGCACAGCCACGTGACATCCAGTAACTTTTTCCTCCTCATTTCTTCTTCTTCCCCAGTCCAGTTTAGAGCAGTTGCGTTCTTTTACTTTATTAAAAAATACATGACGCTGTAGCAAAATACTGATTAGGTAGTCTTATGACACCACAATGAATCGCCTGGCAAAAACTAAAACATTTTGGGGGCGTCAGTGTCCCTTTAATCTGTAAGGCTCGATGCATACATTGGTAAACATCTAATCTGTGAGCAGCCTCCCGACTATCCTCTGCTGTCAATATTTTTCTACAGTTAAGGACTTTGTCAACTGGCACAACTGAGCAGCTGGCAGCACGAGAAATTCATTCCAGTCACAGTTTCCCAATAGCTTACAGTTGTTTGTTTTTACTTCCAAAGATGGTACTTCCCAGAGACACGTGTCCTGAACATGGTACAGCGCATAGTCGAGTTTACGCTTGCAAAACGTAAAATCACTAAAATCGTCCAAAGATGACGAGTCAAGAGTGTTGAGAGAGACTTGCCTGAGGGTTAGCGGAGACAGTATTTCTTGAAAATGAGGGCAGAAGCGATGTCTACATGATCAAGCAGGCGCATGAAACGCAAAAATCGAGAAATCAATATGATAGTTTCGCCAACAATTGTGTCCGAAATTGCGTTTACATAGGCTGCAGCTAGCAAAACCCTACAGCCCACACCTGCGTTATTAAATCAGTCAGTTGACAAGCTTCCTGGAACGCCTGGCACCTTTTCGTGGAGCATTTGCTCAGTGGCGCTCGCTACGCCATCAGCCCGCCCTACAAAAAGAAGCAGCAGAATGGATTAAACGTTGGACGCACATTGCCTGTGGTAGAAACTGATTCTATGGTGGTTTTTGTGGTAGACATAAAGTTGGCACACAAATAGCGCTGTTCGGAAACGGTCCTTTTCCGTTGCCCATGGAGGCATTGCCACTGGTGGCGCTAGGAACGCTATCTCCAGACCTGGGGGGCTATGTTCCAGAAAAGTTTCGTTTCTCCTAAAAATAAACGGAAGTGACGGAACTGACGATATCGCATCTGATTGGCTAGAGGCTCAAATGACGAAAGAGGGAACTTCTGTCATTTGAGCCTCTAACCAATCAGACGATATATCATCAGTTCCGTCGCTTCCGTTTCTTTTTAGAAGAAACGATGCATTTGTCGAACATAGCTCCCTGTACATATGCAAGTCGAATGGCACTCTTTTATGAAGCTTGTCAACCGATAGATCTAAAAACGTTGGCCCGCACATCCCTCTCGGTTAGGGATAGCAGGGAAGCCGGGGAGACCAGCCTCAAACCCAGTAAGTGCATTGGGAAAACATTCTCTTGGGGTCGAGTCTTTCTTTGTAGCCTGCTTCGCAATCCAATGTACCGCAACGGCAGCTACTAGCCATCTTAGCCGATCCAAGCCTCCATGCGTGCCACGTGACTTAACAGCAGCATCATCTGCTCGTCGCTCCGCCCAACCGGATGATCGCGTGACTCCGGGCTATGAATTGGCTTCAATGGCCCATACCGCCTGCTGCAAGTCATCCTACACCAGAGAAGTGAAGTAAAATGTTTGCTATTCGGAAATGTCGTTTCTCAATTGCACATCAATCATACACTCGCAACCGTTGCTTTATTTTTCTCCGTCGTTTCAGAAGTCATACGAAATCAGTCGTTCAAAGCGGTTCCTCGTCGAACTTTCCCATCGAAGCAAAGCTCCACGGAGTACGAATACTACATACATGGCAGCGTGAAACAGTAAGCCCAGCTGGGCGGATTCTTGCAAGCGAACTTTAACTTTTCAGCAAAAGACGAACTATGCTTGATTGTTGTTTCTCTGATTGCTTGTTTTCTGATTTTATTGTTCGTCTCCTGGGGGGTCGGCCAGCAGACACTCTCGCGTACGGGCTTTCGCCTTTCGGCTTCGCCTCGCACGCCCCCCAGGACACAGTTCGCTCTTTGTGCCAATAAAGATTATTATTATTAAGATTATTAGCTACGACCTGGGTTTGAGAGAGATTTCACTTACCTGGCACGCCATCGAAGTACTCAGGCGCCGTGCTGCTGCGATGCTAGCTGAGACTACAAGTGGTCTCGACAAGGTTGTCGCAAAACAGCGGTTCAGCATTTACCTATCTTCTTTCTTTTTTTTCCTTTTAGATCCCTCGACGATGAGCCGTCGACCCGAACATGTGCAAGCGATGACGTCGCGCCGCGTCTTGCTTTGGATTTCAGGGTGGATTGGGTCGGATTTTGATAGAACTCGGTCACTCGGTTGTGAGACGATTGAACGACTACCCTATAAAACGAAACCGAAATCCTCTTTTTGATTTGGGCGAATTGTGTATTTTTCTTCGCACTGAACTTGGCTACGTGAACAAAATTAAAAATTAATGTCTTAATCGTTCTGATAAACTCGGGGAGCGCGAAGCCTGTTGTATACTGTGCTTAGTTATGCTTGGTTACAGGGTGCATTTGGATGGTTTTGGATGCGTAGCACACGCGACACGTTCTCACCGGTTTATCCGAATTATCAAGACAAGTGCATCAGGGGCCCTAAACTCGTCGAACACAAAGTTGGAGCCGAAAGTTCGCGGAGCGCGCTGATTGGATGCCGACGAAAAAAGCGCGAAGTCATCGTCGGTATAGTCCAATCGGCGCGCTCCGTGAACTTCGAACCCAACTTTGTGTTTAAAGGGGTTATGACATGAATATTTTGGGAGGTAGATATGAGGTCTACGTGTGTCATGTAGTGTTCACAAGAAGTTTCATGAATTTTGGAGCCCTAGTATTTGCAAAAATCAATTTTCTGATGTTGATCATTTGTAAGAAATTATCAGGCAACCCTGAAAAAATATGACGTAGCCAGCCTCTACCCCTGCCTCCAATAGTCACAACATGGAGTCCATGGGTCACGTGATACTGACTGGGGCTCGCCACGCTCGGCGACTCTCTTCACTCTCTTCGCGTAGGCACTCTTGCGAGCACAGCAGATCCACAGATGCTGCCGCCCTGACCCTGCCGCATGGCGTCTGGCATCTGATCTGATCCTCTCCGCCGAATTGCGAGAATGGTCAAAGTATGTTGTGCGGTGGGGTGCTTTAACGCGCAGAAGAAGGGGGTGGCTGTGTCATTTTTCCGCTTCCCGAAGGATTCGTCGATGCGGAACAGGTGGAAGGTAGGAGTCGCGCGCGACGGCTGGGAGCCATCGGATTCAACGATTTTGTGCGCGGCCCATTTCACGGCCGACTGCTATGAGGACATCGACGACTGTCGATCTTCTGTCGGACTACAGCCTAAGACTGCCCGGCTTAGGCATGGAGCAGTGCCAACGCTCTTCGTCGGTTTGCCACCGAACGGGAACAACGAGGTACGTATACATACGTATGTTGCAACATGTGTGTACGAGCAGCAGCCCGAGTGCGCGCGATGATTGATTTCAATCGCGGCTTGAAGTATGTTCCTTATGTTTAGGCGTATAAAAGAGGTATTCACTGCTTCGCACGATGATTTACCGCAGCACAGCTGCAAGCACGCACTCAATGTTAAGATGCAATGCAACGGATTATATTACACCGTCGGTACCTCGGTCGGAAAGGGTACGAGACTCGTATAAAAGGAATGATTACAAAGAGCTTTCTAAGCCGTGGTATAGCGTAGTGGTAAGGTGTCTGCTTCATATGAAAGTGGACGCGGGTTCGATCCGCGGTGTGGGCCTACTTTTTTTTTTTTTTTTCGAGGCATTTAGCGATATTTACATCTTTTTTAACAATCATCACAAAAAAAAAAAAAAAAAAAAAGATTGTTGTCGACGAAACTTTGCAGAACTAAAGTGCCTGCCTTGTGATCGCGTGCTGTCGGCTTCGGCAAGCAAACAAGCATTCCCACACGAATAACATCTAGCTCTGCTACACGAACCCTCGTGCCATGAGCCACCTGTCAAAGCTTTGAAACCAAATATTTCATAACAAAATAATGTTACAACACTATCGGTAAAGTGACAGATGGAGTGTTTAAAAAAGGTGTCGCATGACTTGCAAAAATGTTACTTAGATGCTGCCGAATACTACCGAGACAGAAGCAAATTATTTTAAACTCACCAGATACTGCAATATTGTCAAAACAGCATACTATGGTGCCTCCGAATACTTTTCAAACAGAAGCAAAAATTACTGGAAACTGACCGGACACTGCAATCATTTGAAAACAGCTAAGAATACAAAGAAGCTAACCATTGGGATTCTTCGTGCTTTACTTTGAACACTATACCATTGACAGTTTTCTTGTGTTCTCCCTAGATTTCATCCTACCTACCAATTTCACAACCCTGCAGTGAAGGCATTGAATTGGTGCTATTTCGTATGAAAACCTGTTAGAAGCCAGGGCAAAAAGCTGCCCACAGCAAAAAAAAAAGGACTGAAAGGAGCGTGCATAGCACGCCAGTGCACTGTCTGTTTCTTTGTGCCCCTAGTTGTTCACTCATAATCGCCTCTCTATATCAATTAACCCACCTCCCCCACTGAAGACAGCTGGAGTCACTCTCGCCCTCTATTCCGATCACTCTGTCTCCAGTTCGGCAGTTAATTTCCTTATCCGTTGTTTGCTTGACTCACAGATCGTCGATGAGCCACTGGGTGCACAGTACAATACTGCAGTGACAGATAGCATCGGTTTGATGACTACCATGGAAGCGTCATCTACAGATATGGCTGATGCTGAGCCATGCACCACTTCATGGCCAGTCCGAATATCACCCAGTGTGGCATCCAAGTCCATACAAGTGGAAATGAGGCTTAAATCTAGAAATGTGCGATGCCAGACAACACCAAAAGTTGCACGCACCGGTAATCATATCTGTAATTTTTTTTGAGAATGCAATATCTGTGTGAAGTAATAATTACAGTTTGCGTCACACTTATTTCACCCCGATTTCTTGAAATTGGTAAGCATTGCTTTTCTTCTGTTCCATTCAGCTGTGCACACTCCCCGCTCTGTAGCCAACCTGGTGAGCACCTCGTCACAAACTGAGGTTGCATCAAGTCCCCATTACTGGCAGTCCTCACCGATACGATCACCTGACAGGTCGCCTCAGCGTTACCTTCAGAACTTCAACGACGAAATGGAAGAAAGTGTCACCAACGATGAAGCTGACTTATCGTATGTTCTTTCAGTGTATGAAATAAGTGCAGATTAAGATTACTGTTAATATAAACTAGACTCTTTGTCACGCATTTCTACCTTACTTTCAGGGTGACTGTTAACTTCGATGACGAAATGCAAGAAAGTGTCGCCAACAATGAAGATGACTCGTTGTATGTCCCCTCAGCGTGCGAAACAAGTGCAGAGTAAGATTACTTTTAATGTAAACTAGACTCTTTGTGACGCATTTATACCTTACTTTCAGGACAACCATTGGATCCGAGAGCGACTCCGTTCTAACCACTGAACGGAAGTTCATTGTAAATGAGAGAAAGTTGCTGGCACTCTTTACATCATGCCCAAAATGCCACAAAAGCGTTCTCCCTGAGGTTTGCGTTTCAGGGACGTCAGTTAAAATCTCGACAACGTGTTCCGATGACCATGTTAGATCGTGGGAGAGCCAGCCAACGGCAAAGAAAACATCAGTTGGAAACCTGATGGTGGCTGGAGGGATACTGTTCTCTGGCCTGAGCCCAAGCAAGACATTGAGGTTTCTGACCTCCATCGGAGTGGCAACATACTGCACGAGAACATTCTTCAGATATCAGACGGATCTTCTGTTGCCTGCTGTGCAACAAGTAAACACCAGGATCTAACTCTGTCTGCCAAATAAAAATAGAAAAGGGAAGAATTGAAATTATGCATAATTCACTTTCAGGTTTGGAATGAAGCACAAAAAGACCTTCTGGAGAAGATTGAGCTTCCGGTTGCACTTGCCGGTGATGGGCGCGCCGATTCACCAGGATTTTCGGCAAAATATGGAACTTACACGTTGCTGGACATGAGAACAAACAAAATATTACACGTGGAGTTGGTCCAAGTAAGTTGAAACATATCCTTTTCCATTTATTTGTTGTTCCCGACTTGAGCCTAAGTCCAGAATTTCAGGTACTTTCATGCACCATTTTCGTCTGTAGGCGAATGGAAAATTTTTGTGTAGTCTGCTTTTAGTTTTAGCATGGTCGGCGAAGTTGAGCACAAAGCCATGATAACTCGACATACTTCGGGAATGTTTGAGTAATCCACACAACTGGTTAGATGTAAGGGAAGACAAAAGAGACAAGGACGGTCATGCTGTCTTTCCTTGAATCTTACTTCTGTTACCAGCAAGCTCTTTATTTCAGCTATATACGACTGACTCGTAGTGAAACAATGTTATCCCTGTCAAAGGCACACAGTTGCTACTTCAGAGTCGGTGACGACAGTTTTGCAGTTAGTAAGCGGGACTTGGCACGGATTTGCAAACTTGTATACTCTGTTCACCTTTAAGCTGACAGTGAGGTGGAGGCTACTTGTGCGGCGGACCAATCACTCGCCTGCCTTTTATTGCTTGACATTCCTCTCTGCACGCAGTATGAACAGAGAGTGTGATCACATGACACAAGGCTGACGGTTGAGTGGTCCGCCGAGCCTGTAGCTTCCACTTCACTGTTGCCTTAGGGATGATTGGAGTTTCTTTTTTTTTAATATAGTGTGTGTGTGTGTGGGGGGGGGGGGAGGGAAGTGAGTAAGTGAGTGAGTGAGAGAGAGAGAGAGATAGATAGATAGATAGATAGAGAAAGAAAGAAGGCCACAGATTTCGAAGTGCACCTATTGGCCAACCTTTCCACACAGTACAGGTTTCAGTTTCCGTAACCACCCTCCCCCCCCTCTCAAGAAAGAAAATTCTGGTTCTGCTAATGCATGCAGCAGAACCTTAAATTCAGGTCGAAGGTTGAGAAAGCTCACACGTGTAAACAAGACCTCTATCAGCTATGAATGTCTCGTTTGAATCGTAGTTGAAGCCAACACTTCGCTTCGAGACATGATTTTTTGAGGGGGTATGCTTCTGAAGGTGCTGTCTCTGAAAATGGCAGATGTCACTCTAAGGCTTGGTTTCTTATGTTCATATCAGCCCTGACTGCTCGTGTGTTCTGTTAACTGACATTTTATTTTCTTTTACAGTCAAACGAAGTTGGGGGCAGTGCCCGCATGGAGCTCGAAGGCCTTGTACGGTCCATACGGCACCTTGAAGGATGGGGAGTATCCATCTCCACGTTGGTCACTGACAGGCATTCGCAGATAAGGAAGTACCTGAGGGAACAACATCCGGATATTAAGCATCTATTTGACTGCTGGCACGTTGCAAAAGGTTAATTATTATTTCCTCACATTTCCTCCTTCTTATAAAGGTGTTAACCAAAAATTACTGCTATGGTGCAGTTGCAGAAAAGAAAGTTTTGTACACCTCTGTATGTGCTATCCAAGGGTGAAATACAGGCTAGAAGGGCACACTTTAGTCCGTGTTAGGTGCACTGGCTCTATTCTTGTAAGAGCCCTGCAGTGCTCTGGGCTTGACCCAATAAGACAAAATGAATGTTAACACACTTATGACATTAAGAGTAGCTGTTGCATCAAGGGTACTTCCAAATTCCGTGATTATTGTCCTTGGCCGCATTACATGGGAGTGTAAACATGTTGAGTCTTTTGATATATGAAACCATTATTTAAACGCTGTGTCTAAAGATATGTGGGACGTATCCCAATCCCAGAGTCTAAAGGTACGTTGGACGTACCCGGAACCCTGGGTCTAAAGATACGTCGGATGTATCCAGATCCCAAAGTCTAGAGATACGTCGGACCTAGTCGGTGAATGGCCACCGGTTGTTGAGAACGTGTGGAAAATTTTACGAAAGTGCAGTGCCGCATGAAAAAGGCAGAACTCTTAGAAAGATAGTTTCGCCGGTCTTGCGGCATAATCAAAAATTCCTTGGCATGCCGAATTGCTGCGTTTCTGCATTCACACGCTTGGATACTGATCAAGAATCGGTGCCGCAGCCAAGTTTTGAAGGTGTGTCAAGCGTAGATGATTTTGCATCATATGTCGACCGTGGAGTTGTGGATCGTCCAGCTGTTCCGGCAATTTGTTATGAATAAAGGAGGGAAAACAATCTGTACGGTTGCTCTTATGCACTATTAAGCATGGCTATGTTCCAAATCTACTCTAATGGATCACATGGCAGCGCAAATAGAGCAACGCTGTGGAGGTTTTTGAAGGCGAAAGTGCAAGACGGCGAGATGGAAAATATTTGAGGTGCGGCCCATATGGTTGTGTGCAATCGACTGAGCAATCACAATTAGGCGAGCTGCGCTCGAACTTGATGTGATGTGCAATTGCTGATAACGAGGGTCAGTGATGAGGAACTGTGTGCGCGGTATTCTGTAAACTGTCAGACGACTTCAAAAAGACATACCTTCCCCCATCTTCCGTCGCCATAGGACGCTGGATCAAGCTCGTTTCTGGACTGCAAGAGCCGCAAGTTACAAATACAGTCGTTGGAGGAAAGTAAAACGCTGCTCCAGAGGCACATACGGTTTCATGCACATTGCACTCGCAAAACACATCCACACGGCGTCCAATCTTGATCGGTGTCCAAGCATGCGAATGCACAGAAACGCAGCACTTCTGTGTGCCAAGGAAGCTTTGATGATGCCACGAGACGTGCGAAACTTGTTTTCGACAAGTTGTCCCTTTTTCCTGGGGCACTGCGCCTTCGTAAAAATTTCCACGTGTTCTCAACGGAAAGTTTCAACACTTACGCAAGTCTTAAAAAAATTCTTCGGTGAATGACGATTAACGAATAGAAAACATGTCTTCAGCATGCTAGCAATGCAATGCTAGCGTGCAGTGCAATGCGTGCTTCTGCAATGCTAGCAAAACCGAAATTTGCCTGAGCAAGATGGCTGTTTGGTGGCTTCACTCGCGCTGCAGTGACCAAGCGGCAACGTTACTAAAACACTCAGTTGGGAAACTCGCCGTCGAAACCTGGGCCGCTGGCGTCCACCGAGACCGAGCTAAATGCGACAACAGCGCCACTCTTTATCATTTGTCTGTACTGTGGTCACATTGAGCTTTTACAAAGCATGTTTTTGCGTAAAAACAAACAGAAAACACTCTTTATGTGAAATTTATTGGAGTTTAGTACAAAATGAAGGGCACGTGATGTTTTTGAAATCTTTAGTTTGCTAGGTTTTGTTGCACAATTAATATTGTTTTTATACAACCATGCCTCAGCGGTGCTTTCAGGTAAAACGTCCCGACCTAGGTGCATTTTAACTTCGGTTGTAAAACGCGGCGCGTCCGCCGGGGAGACGGGGGTGGCACCCCTGTAACCTCTTCCACTGTATCTGTTCTTGAAGACAAAATATAAGTCATGTGCAGTTTCTCGAGTGCCTGCTGCGGGAGAAATGGCGGCATTCTTTTCGCTATTAGTTAGGTTCTCGAGGACAGATCGGGGCCACTTTTTCAGGGCAGTCTCTATGGCAGTTTCCCAACTGAGTGTTTAGTAACGTTGCCAAGCGGGTAAGGGCGACCCAGCAATTGTCACAGAGATGAGTGAATACACCCATGGGAAATTATTATTCTATATGTAGCAGACCTATAATAGGGTAGTCTAGTCTGGTACACATGGCTTGCACGTGACATCAAAGCAGTCCTCCTTGCTGGTGGTAGAATGCACTAAAGCTGAGGTGACTCGTTTCTAGTTTGTAGAATTAGTACAGCACTAGTTTTGCATTTCTAGGGTCATTAATGGGGAAAAACCGAAAGCTGCTTGGCAGTGCTCGCTCCTTGTCGGTTTTTTACACCATCAGAGGCATGTAAAGGAACGTTGCATTATACAAGCGCAAAAATCAGTTGGCAGGAGCTGTGACCCGACAATTATTTTTCACGCATTGCAAGCTTTGCACGTCTGAACGAAACGAAATTTCGACCGCCAGTGAAGGGAACGGCCGGAAACGGCAGGCGACGGTTCATGTTTCATCAGTTTCGTAATCTCATTTCTTTCGAAACTGTGGTGCCTGGAGAGCGTCTTCAACTGGTGTGTTTAGTGTCCTATGCTGCCCATACATCAAACATGGTCCCAAAGTGTTAACAAATAATGTCACAAAAGCCAAAGTGTCATGCTGTAAAGCCCCTGTATCTGGGAAAAGTGGTGCATTCTCTTCCCTCCTCCTCCAAAAAACCGTTCTTACCCCACCTCTAACTTCCGGTTTGCGACAAAGTGCCCTCGGGAAGTTCCCAAGCATCTCGACGTCTTGGTCAGCTGAAGCGGCGTGATGCCGGTCGTGTGGACTTTTCTCGTTTTATAAGTGTGGCAATGACCCCATTTAGAGCCGCATTCGCATCCGACCGCCCTAATGTCGCTCTAGATCCATTCGTCCAACCGTGGATCTCAAGAATGCTTTGGATAATCGTCCCGATCATCCCTACCGAGTTCCATTATTGGTCAGTGTCTCGTGTCTACCTGTCTGCCCCTTCGGCTTCACAGGAATCACAAATTGCTTTTATTCATCACATAAAACCGCCAAATTGCAATTATATTCTCCACGATTTCAGACGAGTCACTACTTATTTTTAATCTGTGGGGAGAAAGCATACTCGTGCTTGTCGCACTTGATTCGCTCGCACTTGTGTTGAATCGGGGTATAGATACTTCCACATGCTCGCGTCTGCAAGCTTATGAACTTTGTGCGAAACAAAGCATGGTACGTGAGCATGTAAGACACACTTAACGAGTGAGCATACTCCGCATGCACCCATAAGTGAGAGCGATGCCAATGCTACAAGCACGAGCAGGAGCACGCCCAAACCTCTGCACGCACCCATAAGTGCGAGCGACGCCGATGCTACAAGCACAAGCAGGAGCGGGCCGTTTTGAACGACGCTTCTTCCATAGCACGGGCATCCATGCATGCCAACTCGGCAGTGTTGTGATCGCTATTACATCGCTCGCACTTACGGTGGAATGAAGTGCATAACTTGCTATAAACCGCTGTCTCTGCACTCTGGTGAGCTTTATAAGAGCACCTATATCGCATCATTTTGCGGCTCCCGTCTGGCTGCAATTTTTTCGATCGATTTGGTGAAGCAAGATCTTCCTCCGAGGTTCATTTTCTGTTCCACAGGGAACACTGAAAGGCTCTCCGGCCAACTTTTCCACAGGCGCAACAGCCTGTTAAGCTGCGGCGTAGCAACAGGTTGGGAAAGTAATGGCGACCGGAAGTCCAAAACTGAAAGCAGGGCGTCAGGTCACAACCGGCCAATAGTGTGTGCGGTGGCTTGTTCAAAGAATGGCGCCACTTTCCCCAGGATAGAGGGGCTTTATCACGCTGTTGCATGTCGCGCTCTTGGCAGTTGGTCGTAGAAATGCTAACGAAAAGCTGCGAGTAGCACAAGCGAACGGGAGTGTCGCTGTCGTCGCGGTGTCCCAGCTTCTGGCTGCTGAAGCCTCCGTGGACTTCCACAGTGGAGAGCGACTTGCAGCAGAACAGGCGTCTGCCACACACACCACAGCTGTTGGGACGCCGCCAGGATCGTAGCTGGCAACGGCGTGACACTTTTATGATGTAACCAGGCGGAAATGGAGGGACCACTTTTTCTGGATGCAGTAAACACCCCAGTCGGAGACGCGCTCCAGGCACCATACTCAAAACTCGTGAAACGAAACTTCGACTGCCAGAGAAGGAAACGGCACACGTTTTATGCCTTGTAAGTATCGTACTCTCTTTTGAGCATTGCTCTCAATACTCGACAGCTGAGCCGGTCGAGTCCGTTGAGCTCAGGGTCGACGATGCATATGGCATACTACTTGGTGCCCCGAACACCTTGAATGTGAATCGCAGCTACGCCCGAAGACTCCGGGTCCCAGGTGCATCCTACGTATCTTCAGACTCTGGGATCCGGGTATGTGCGACGTATCTTTAGATTCTGGGATCCGGATACGTCCGACGCATCTTTATAGACTTTGGTTTCCAAATACGTCCGACGTACCTTTAGACAGCGTTACTTAAAAGTAGTATGCTTATAACTGCCTAGAAAAGTAAGACGGAATACATAATTTTAGGTACACTATGAATTTCTTCAATTTTCAGGGATCAAAAAAAAGCTGATGGCTGCGAGCCACCGCAAAGGTTTTGAGAGAATTGGCTTGTGGACAAAAAGTATCACCAGACATCTGTACCACTGTGCAGCCACTAGTGGAGGAGATGGAGAATTGATGCAGGCAAAGTGGTTGTCAATGCTGAATCACATCGGTGACGTACACACTGGCCACAGTGAGGTCTTCCCAGCCTGCGAGCATGGCCCCCTTGAGCGTAGAAAATGGATTACACAAGGCAGGTGATTTCGGCATAATCAGAAGTGCAGAGATTTTCTTGCCTGCATAGCACTACTGGCCTTAGTATACTGATATTACTGTTTGAAGACATGGTTCATGCATATCCGGTGCTTTTAATGAACTTTCGAATGTGAATTATGAACTCGTGCCAGGACATTGGTCTGATACATACAGGTTCCAAAGGTCCAGACTTAGAGAAGGTTATTCCTGACTCTTTTTCTTCGACTTTCCCTCATCCATTACCGTAGTCTCCGGTTTTCCCACATGATGTCCAGAATTTCTTTGCTCAAAAGCGATTTCACTCTTGGAGAAGGGTTGAATAAAATTGAAGCTGTTTCTAAGAAATACACGGTCTAGAAGCGTGTTGGTTTTGAGGTCAAAGATGTAAGAAAGAATAAACATTTAGGATGGGGACCCATCCTAAATCAGGGTATCACCCGATTCCTTTCACCCCATTGTCACACACGCTCAATCTTACACTGGGTGCAGCCCTTGTTTTTATGATACACGAATTTCGGAGGGCAATAATAGCAGATATGGCCGGTAAATCATAGAGGCGATTGCCATCCACAGCGTAAAAAACAATGTTTCTACCCCCTCATTGCTCCTGACGAAGACTGAAGTCGAATTTCTGAAACCAGAGATGACACTGTCAACTTGACTATGTTTTTATCTTATTGTCTCTTTCCTTCCGTCTATCTTTTGATTTTCCCTTCCCTCGGTTTTTTGCACCTTTAATCTGCTGCTCGCTCTTGGAATTTCATATTTGTTTGTTGCTACCTGAAAGAAGTGGTTGTTCAGTCCCTGTCCTCAATGTTTATTCTTTTTTACATCTTCAATCGGTTTAAAAGAAAGCTTGTGTGTGTCCGATAGGAGTGGTACTTTTAACTCTGTTCAATAGAAATTCTGATATGCAAATGAAACTAGTCAGTAAAACAGGAAAGAGGTAGTGCGTATTTGGCAATGCGGAAGCTATGCTTATGAATCAGCTGGGGTGGAAAATGTGGGTATGCTATTATTCCTTGGACTTCATGTGAATGTAGGAGTGAAGTTATGTAAAGCTGTAGGTACTAATTCTTATAAAAGTTAGAGAAGGCCGGTTATCTTTAGTTATTGGATTCTAAAAGTAGGAACAAATAACTATATTTTGCCACTGATGGTACTTCTGGAGTGGTGGTGCTTGAGGCATTTTAGTCTGAATGTTTGGGTAGAATAGCCAATGCATGCTTTGTCAATTGCAGATTACCCTAGGAAAGTTGAATTTTCAATTTTCATTTTCTGTTTGAAGGAACTGATGCCCACGATCGGCTGGCCACTATTCTGGCATCAAAGTCTTTTTTAAAAGATGTCAAGCAGCTGTCGTCAGAGGGTCAAACGTTTAGCGTCGAGACGTTTCATTCGACATTGATTCAGTTTGCCCCCAAGTCTGTGGCCTACTCGTACACCATCATGGCTGCAAGGTATGGATTGGATTATTGAGCTTCCTAATATTGCCGTATTTCCAAGTGGCCGAGGTAGCGCAGTGGAGTGCGTGCCCCGCTTTCACGCGGCAGTGCTGGGTTAAAACCGCAGTCACGGAAGTGCCTTTTATTCTTTCTTTTATTCCTCATCTAGTTTCTGGAAGATTCTAGAAAAAACTGGCATGTTCCCCTTATTTTTCGCTTGTACATTGTGTTGTTCTAGTCATAGTACTTCCTGGGCGGTACGCGATGATTATAAAAGAGTGCACCCGTGGCTGCAGACAGTCAGTCTATTGCTAGCACTTGTCCTAGCTGTTGCGCCAAGATTCAACGCTCGCGACGTACTGTTATTCTCTTCTGTTTTGGGCACTAGTTCGCCCCATTAAACATTATTTTCCTTAGTTACTCCTTGCCTCTCTCTGTCATTCGTGACAATATTTCAGTAATAGTTCTAAATTTCCTCTTTCAAGGACCTTCATAGCAGCACTGCATTACAATGAAAATTCAAACAGAAAGCAGCGAAAAACAAAAGATGGACAACCACAGTGGAAAAGAAAATATCCGAAGGCGCAAGGTGGAGAACCAGTGGTCCAAGAACTCATGGAGGATGCCACATACAGTGAATATATTCATTTTCTTTTAGAACAAATGGAAGAAACATGACAAACATGCTATCCCCCTTGTTTTGTGAAAGCCTTCAATGGCAGATAAACAGAGCAAACACAACGGACAGAGTAGAAGACTTGCTGGAAACGATGCTGCCTCACTGTCCATTGTCTTCACACTGTTTATGTGTTGCCACTAACTAGCCAAAGCTTCAATACTTGTGCAGGTTGATACCATCGAGGTTGCCACAGCATACCATGCTCTTGCAGACTGCTATAGTCTGGTATGGGTTAAGAATACCCCAGAAGCTCCTCCCACGTCCTCATTGTCGCCGGCCATTGTTTCTGCGCAATGCTCAAGTAGTCCGCTATTTAGGCTGTGACAACCTTTGCAGCTGAGCGAGTCAATACATTGTATTAGCAGGAAAAAGAAATGGCACAAATACACGATACAGGATATAAAAGGACTGACCGATGTCTCTTGCTTTTGTTCACCTCAGTAAACACGAGCACAAAAGATGCACCAGCAAATATACAGGTGCCTCAAATTTCCAAGAGTTTGACTTAATAAAGAATGTGATATTTTTGTTTAACAGCGCATGTTCCATGTTTTGGGTGGCGTACAGCTGTTTCCCCTGAATCTTTTTTGCAGTGGAGCTGTTCAGGTCTAGTTTCCCCAGTTTCGTGTCCGTGGACAAATAAATCTTGACAACCCTCTGTACAGCTACCGCCATCTATAAGCAACGGCGGCAACTGGCTTGCCGGTTGTTGCCGTCACTCATAAATGGTGGCACAGAGTACAGCTCCGCTACTCTTGCTTCTTCATCGGAGTGGATAGGCTGAAAGCTTTTCTGTTCTTCAAAGTTCATTTTTATTGGAGAAGAAGAAAACGAGCTCTGTCACACTTACATCACATATCTCGTCATGGCTACAGCCCTTCTTGGGTGGTCTGCAGAGCAACTCATTGTCTTAGCTGGTACATTGTTGTATTTATTGTGCTCATTCTTAACTTGTATAAGAATTATAGCATATTGCATGTTTCTGTTGAAACTCTTGAAACTAATAATCTTAGTGACATTGGCACGGGAATACACTATATTTTCTTTTTGTCAATTTCCATGCGCTTCTGTACAACTGGAGCACATGCTAGTTAGGTCTTTTTGACTCGTATCTGTAAACATTGTGCTGAATACATTCAGTGAGGCACAGTTTCTGCTCGGGGATACGGGGCACAATAACAAAACCTCGTGCAGCTGCAATATCTGACTTGTATATTTCCCGCTTTTAATTCTCAGGTAGGAGAATGCAAATGTGCCCTCTACTACAATATACAGCAGACAACATTTGTCCAAAATATGGTTCAAAATCTCGCATGCTCAATCATTTCATGCGCACCCCAAGCATTTGGAGCTTGTTGTTCTAATTCTGTTATCAGCACAAAGCCAGATTGTGACGTCATGTTTGATCTTTCAGACTACATTGACCGGTTGTTGGAGACGGTCCTGCAGTTAGAGCGGCAGCCGACTGCCCACTGCTCAACATCACGTCCTGTGCCTCCCCCACTCAGCCAGAGCCAACCACATGTTCCTACCCAAGAACTTGTTAGGAAGCATCGCCAGAGATTCAGCCTTCCTTGAGAGCTAACTATCCAACTGCTTGTAAGATACAAAAGAAATTCGTTGTAGCCCATAGCAACACGTTTTACCAGAGTTAATCCTCTGATCGAAGTATTCTCCTAAATTGTTTTCTCTATTGCAAATTTTTTGTAAAGCATTGGGGAACTTTTTTTGTATGCCCGCTCACAATGTGAGCAACAATGCTTAATTTGGCCTGTTTGTTGGTCACCCTCACATAATCACTCGCTCAGGGTAAATTATATTTCTAAAGTTAGACAGAGATATTTACACAGTTCCCTCTCAGTGAAGGACTTCAAACTATGTGCATAAACATAATATAAGTATTTAGTACTCCACATATCTGAAGCCCGTATATGTTTCAGATGGGTAGGCTGCCCGGATCTTGACGACTACGCAGCTTGGCAGTGGCTTGCGGTGGTGGCGTCAGAGCTTGTGCCAAACCCACCGCACAAACTGATTATAGGCCGTCAACCTGTACCGCCTATGCAAAGAAAGAAAATAAAGCACATGTTATTTTGCCCCTCTGTGAGAGGAACACGATGAAACAAAACAAGTTTTTGGTTCTTACCTGTGGAGATCTGGGGCGTTGATGGCTTCCCGCTCATGTTCCATTAAGTTGAAATACGCTATTTCAATTGCATGTTGATTTAGAACACCCCCAAGAAATGTAGGGTGCACAGTGATGCATATTTCAGATGTTGGGATTTTTTCTCGCACTTTCTGGATGCTGTGGCAGCACAAATTCTCGGTGGCTGAGCCCATCACTTCACAGAGTCCACACCCGCACCTGGAATACACCGAATTTTGCCAAGCGCATCAGTATTTTGTTACTGACACAAGTGACAACAAACATATAGCTGCAACTTACTGGAGGAAACATACTCACCCGAAGGATAAAGGGCAGCTGACATTACGCCGAGAAAATGTTTGTATCAGCTCTCCCCACTAGTCGCAAGTTTGGCTGAAGTACATTTACAAAAGATGATTCGTGACGCTGTTTCAGCAAATGTGCGAGCAATATTCAGACCGCAACTTTTGTCTGCGATTATATGGCGACTAGCCTGGGGTTTTCCGATCTCGATACACAGCAGACTGCGGTTGTTGACGCGCAGATCGTTAGGATTTGAACTTAGGAAGAATCCTGGGCTCTGCAGTGCGACCTTCCGTTCCACCAGCTTCAAGCGGCGGTGCGGCTTGGCTACCGCTATCGGCATGGGGTCTCAAAAACAGAAAATATAAATAAGTGTCACGACAGGCAACGGGCGGCATCGTGCTGAGAGCGCGAGCTGAGCGTGTGCGAAAAACGCACCGCGACAAAAGCTTGTGAGCGAATAAGTGGTGACCTGCCGATATCATAGTCACGGAATCCCCCACTGTTTTCCCATACTCTTCAAGAGCTTGACGACGGTGTTAAGATGGCAATGGCAACGGTGAGCGCATTCAACAGGTCAACAGTCGCACGAGCTGCTATGCCCACACGTTCGTGAACGCGTCACTCAGATGACATGGGCGGCCTTGCAACACCGATTTGCTCGCACTGATTACAAAATAGTATATTAAAACACTCACCACTCCAAACCGTGCCATTGAGCGTTATCGGCCTCCTCAGCGTCGTCTCTGACGACATCGCCGTCGTCCTCCGCAACGCTCTCATCGTCGTCGTCGCTGGAGCTGGTCGCCAGCGGGTCGAATACAAAATGACCAACTTCAGGAATTTCTTCGTAATCGCTCGCGTCACTGCTGAGATCGCTCTCGAAGACGTAGGAATTGCCAGAATTTGAAGAGTCCGACGAAGTGAGTGAAGCCGGAGCCTCCATCGGCTCTAATGCCAGGAGGCGAAGACCGCGAAGACGACGAAAGCTGATGCCAGAGGAGAGGATCAGTTTGGGAGTGCTTGCAGCGGGTCAGCCCCAGCTGCCCCAGCTCCGCCGGTTGCGCCGCGGCGCTACCAGGGGCGCGCGTGCAGCAGAGGCTGGCTACGTCACGGACCTCCGAACAGCCAAGACCCACCCACTGGGGGGAGCCGAGGATCCGTGATAAAAACGACTGTATCTCTGAAACTAGCGGTCTGTTTACAAAACAAAATATCGCAAACGCATGCTAACACATAATGGGTTCTTCAGCCATAGTTATCTCATGTTTTATATATTCCGTGTCATAACCCCTTTAACGAGTTAAGGGCCCCTGGACTGCAGTGTGTAAGGTAGTGATAAGTTTCCATTGGTTCTACGAATACTTTACTTTGGGATGCTTCTTGCTATGCGAAAACCGAATGGCCTTGGCACCAACAGCTTTTGCGTAGTTGGAACGGCTGGACGCGCACTGTCTCGTGGCTTTCCCCTTTGAGTTTGAAGGGCTGGATGCTGTCAATCGATCGCCAAGACAGCCCTCTCCGCTGTCTTGTCTTGGTGAATCCGGTATTTCGGTGTGTCGGCGGCAGCCCTTTCCCTCGGCGCAGCGCGATGGCGCGATAGATGGAGGGTTTCCAGATTCCAGACCACTCGGGGTAGAATTTGGCGCTGAGGGCGCGCTGTCTAATGCAAATGAGCGAAGTATAAGGTTTTCTCCTAGTGAAATATTTATGTTCTGCTTCTTCCGAAGGTGCGCGCGTGTAGCGCCCTCAGTCTCCTGGATTGTGAGGAACCCTTTGTGGTAACTGAAATCATCCCGAGGGGGGGACTCTGTTAAGTGTGATGTCATACGCCCGCTGCGCTATCCGTTGCCGCGGTATGATGTGCCCTGCGACGTTCTGGGATCACGTAGGGAGCGACTCTTCGTCGGGTTGCGGATATCGCAGGTCCTGGGTTCGGTACCCGCTGAGCCGCTTGGTAAATCACCTGTTACAATTGATTAGGCCCAATTATCAGTACGTACAGTGGCTTACGAACTTGTTCTTGAGTGAGGGGGCAAACCGCACCCCTACCCCACCGCACAGTGCCGGGGGGCGGCGCCTTTGGTATCCTTTGGGCGCCGGCGGCCAGTGTTTGCCCTGCCCAGTGGTGGCTGTTTGAGGGGGGGGGGGGGGGGGGGGGGGGCAAAACACATACCTTGCCCCCCCCCCCCCCCCGGTTAGTACGCCCATGAGTACGTACGATTACTTATGACTACGCTGTCTTCTCTTAGAATGCGCTTACCTACTAAAGGGCATACGCAAAAAAACGATTTTTTTAAAAATAAGAATTAGATTGACTTGATTTACTCGGAGTAGCTAGAAAATAGGTAATTTACCACTAAATGTATAGGGCGGACTGATCGACCGATTCATGAAATTATTGAAAAATTAATCCGGACAATATAATTACAGTTCATTTAAAACACTTCATTAGCAACTTTTTATCAATGTAACTTCTGCCATACAAATACAAAATCAGCCTAAGTTTTTTTTTAGTCAGAGGGAAAAAAATGAAAGACGTTTACAACCCCTGTAACGCCAAATTTGAGCGCAGCTCTTCAGGAGGAGGAGAAAGGGTACAGAGGGGGAGAAGGTGGAAAGTCCCCCACTAGGGTAAAATCATTACTATATAATTTGCAGGGGTGTGCGAATATTCGAAGTTTAGAATACGAGTCGAATCTTTTCCTTATTCGACACGTATTCCATTCGAAAATTGCATATTCGGAAATTCCCAAATATTTGGCCAAAGCCGAATACTCGGGAACAACGGGGAATATTCGCACAAACTGCGAATATTCGAGCGAGTAACGAATAATCTGCTTGCCACGCAATCCCCATAAATGTTTATTCACTGAGAAAGGGGTATGATGCGTGCTTTATCGGTCTGCTCCGTTTCTATCTGCCCGATGGCAGCAAGACAGGACCAGTTTCGGTTTCTTTTTCACCAAGCCCATTGTTGTGTGGCTTTTTTTATAGCAATATGTGATGTAATTGCGCGTTCTATAAATTGATACAATAAAATAAACCTCGAGAGTGAAATATAAATAAAAATAAATCTCAGGAGTGTTATCTAATATAAATATTTGAAAATTCAAAAAAGTGAAAACCGTTTACAACTCCCTGTAATGCCGAATTAGAGCGCAGCTCTTGAGGAGGAGGAGGGGAGGGTACTGAGGGTCACGTGTTCTCGGGGGGGGGGGGGGGGTCACGTGACGTCGGCAGGGGTCACGTGACCTGGGGGAAGGGTCACGTGACCCACAGAGAAATTTTTCCGGTAGATTTAGCGGGGAAATTTTTCCGCTAGATTTAGCGGAGAAAATTTTCCGCTAGATTTAGCGGGGAAATTTTTCCGCTAGATTTAGCGGAGAAAATTTTCCGCTAAATTTGCTGGGAAAATTTTTCTGCTAGATTTAGCGGAGAAATTTTTCCGCTAGATTTAGCGGGGAAATTTTTCCGCTAGATTTAGCGGGGAAAATTTTCCGCTAAATTTAGCGGGTAAATTTTTCCGCTATATTTAGCGGGGAAAAATTTCCGCTAGATTTAGCGGGGAAATTTTTTCGCTAAATTTAGCGGGAAATTTACCCATAATGCACCGCGCGGTTACGCCGACGGCGACGCCGCTCAAACCGAAAACGGGCGCCTAAGAGCTGCGCTCTAAAAAAGAAAAAACTAGGTGAGAACAGGACATTCCATCGCCATCGAAAACAACTCCTGCCCTCAGGCTCAAGGAGGATAGAATGGTAAGAGAGGGCATGACGTCAGCCGCGTAGCCTGCACAAGCCATGCTCCCTTGACGTCTCGCCTCTTTCTCATTTTCCTCCTTACTCTCCTCACTTATCAGCCCAACATGACCACACCACGTGACCGTAGCTAGCCTTCGTCTAGCCTTCGATCTGACAAAGCCTACGGGACGGAGCGTGCGCAAGCCTGCAAGGAATCCTTCTACAATCAACCATCCATTTCGCACGTGACATGTTACGCGCTCCAATCGCCAGAGAGATCTGCGGTCACGTTGGGCACAATATCGTTTAAACTTTTTATGACTAGGCTTCACCAATATTGCAACGTGCCCCCTCCTAGTACTTATAATCTGCTCGCCCAGGCTGGATCGCGGATCGGGAGCCCGTCGGTGTCGCCACCGGCGGTCATTGCTTGACACCAGGC